CCTATTTGGCTGGAAATTTGCTTCCGGATTCCCCATTTGTTGGTAGCAACAACACGACAAGGCTAGCGTGGTAGAGGCTGCGGGACAACGATACTTGTAGTACTGGGGCACGTTCCGGTTGGCTTCTTGGGTCCCCCCATCTTAGATGGGCCCGTGCCTGTCAAAGAAGACACTGTGCATGCGTCGGCGTCGGTGTGACGCTGGGCTGGAATCGGATTCCCCCGACCCCTCAGCGGCTGATCGTGTAGAGCGTCTCGAGGTGGTTTCCCCCACAGCTGGCCATGGTAGAGTGGTCCCCGCGTCTGTGTCTCCGTCAGGTGCTGTGGGTAGCGGCAACGTAGCCATCGCTTCAATTTCCCCCAAGTCTGCGAGGAAGCTGTCCGTCTCTAGTGCTGCCACTTCTTCTTCTGTGACCCCATGGAGACCAACCCATCTTCGTTTGGTCCCCCGGGCTGCTGCTCCATCTGCGGTGCCTTGTGCAGCAGCTTGTTCCCCCTCATCCTCTTCTCCAGCATCTGTCTGCGTGCCATCGTGTACCGCATGGGTTCCCCCGAAGAAGGCTTGTTGCCAGGAGTCGAGCGCTGCGAGCGTCTGGATCGCCACTCCCACGTGCTCTCCCCCCATAAACGGGACTTGTTTCCGGAGAGCTGCGCCGGCTTCCATCAGTGTTCTCGCCGTTGAGTGCAGCCGGCTCGTCCTTGCGGTCCATTCCTTTGTCCCGGGTTCTGCTAGCGCGATGACGTCTGCGGGGTGCGCTGTTGGCTCCCCCCTGGCTCGATCCATCGGTGTTCTTGTCGTACTCGCGGCTTGCTCCCCCATGGCAGCCCCAGGCAGGACTGCTTCCTGCAGTTCCGTCCACCAGTCCAGCGTGTTCCAGGATCTGTCCCCCCCAAGGGCCTTGAGGATGACCGAGTCGAGCATGTCGTGGGCTTTCTTCAGGGCTGCTATCGCTCTCTATCTTGCGCCTTCAGGTACATCAGGTGGTAGGTCATCTCGGAGCTCTGTTCCCCCCAGGTCACATAGGTTGCGTAGTGAGCTGAGGTCTTGAGCGAACTCTTCATGGGTGAGCCGGTCTCCCCGCCTTACTCTCATGCTGGCAATCTGGCGGTAAACTTCACGTAATGCTCCAGCTCCTGGCTCATCTCCCAGCGGTGCTCGTTCTCCCCCAGCCATTGGCGTGGTTGCCATGCTTTCTTAGGCCAGCATGGTCAAGGCGATCGAGCATATGTTGGAGATAACTTGTCCCTCTGCTCCTTGCAAGGTGTCTGCGACTTCCTGTATTAGCTGCAGCTGTGTTGTTGCCGCGGTGATCGCTCCTCGCAGTGTGGCCAAGGAGCTGGCTTCCGCTGGGGCCGAATGTGATGTGGTGGTTGTGGTGCCTGCTGCTGCCGGTGGTGGGTGGTGTACGGTTGGTCTGTCTCTTCTGCGGCCTCCCCCCACTGGCGTGCGTCGTCTGCGTCGTATCAGTCCGAAGTTCTCTTCGTCTGTCGTGGTGCCATTGAGGCTGTTACTGCTGCATGCTTCAGCGCTTGTGGTGGTGGTGGTGGTGGTGGTGGTAGTGGGAGTGTGGGGTCTCCTCGTGGTGGTGGCTGTGGTTCCCCCCGTCGGTGCGATTGGCCTTTGCCATAGCTCTGCGTTGTCTTGGTCTTGTTGTCGCGGTTGATTTCCAAAGACTCTGCCGTCTCTGATTATGTTGAAAAGGTGGGGCTGCTGTGGTGGTTGTTGTGGTGCCTGGTTGGCTTGCTGGCTCGCTCGTAGGGGTCTGCCGTCCATGAAATCGGCGCGGCCTTGTTGCGTATTTGCTTGGGGTTGTTGTGGTTGGGCGGGTGTGTCCCCCTGTCGGTGTTGTTGCTGTGGTTGTGGTGGTTGTGGTTGTGGTTGTGATTGTCGGTGGGCTTGTGCTTGCGTGCTTGGCGTCTCCCCGCTTGTGGCTCCTCCTTGGGTTGGCTTTGCGCTGGCTTCCGTGGTGCGTTGCGGCTGTTGTGGTGGTGTCGTCCCCCTTTGTGTGGAGGCTGTGGCTGTGGTTCCCCCCGGCTTTGGTAGTGCCTTGGTTGCTGCGGCGGCTGTTCGTTGTGGCTGGCCGGGGTTCGTGCTGTTACCGATTGCTCTGCCCCCTGTCCTTGGAGGTTGATACTTCTTTCTCGGCGGGCCATGGCGGGTTCCCCCCGCGGGCCTTATCATCCAAACTCCTTCAATCTCCTCCACAAAGTAGGCTTGCCCGACCGCTGTTGCGAGTGTCCCCCCCTCTTGGCGGTGGTCTGGTGGCAGTGAGATGACCGTCAGCATGTATACCAAGCCAACTGTCGTCTCCACTTCGATGATGGCCCCGTCGGGGAAGGCTGGACTGGTCCATAGCTCGTGACCGGTCTCGAGCAGGGCGCGCTGTGGTGTCCTCCTGTTATCGGGCGGGCTGGGTGCCCCCGGTAGTGCCTCCACCCTGGCGACCCACTTTCCTTTCCCCACCGGCACGTAAAGGACCTCGGTGCGGGCGCTGTGCGGTAGGCTCGGTGGGCCTCGCCTTTGTATATGGCTCTCTTTGTTTGCTCTGTCATCGCGTTCCTGAAAGTGAGCTTGCGGTTCTTCCATGGGTGCCGCATCTCGCTCTTCTTCCCCCCCGGCTTCCGGGTGCTCGGAGCTGGGCTGTGGCTGTTGCTGCCGGTGCGTCCCCTCTTGGTTCAAGTAGGGGTTGCTGCGCACTCTGGCTTTATGGTCTGCAGCGGCTTGAGTATGCTGCTTGCTCCCCCTGCCGTCTTGTGGGTCACTGGTGGCAGGTGGCGTGGTTGATTGCTGGTGTCCTGTTGCACTTTGTGTGTTCGCCTGCTTCACCTCCGCTGCAGCCGCTGCTTTTGTTTGCCACCTTTCCCCGTAGTAGCTGTATGGACGTGGTGGTTCCTCTGTCGGGTCCTCTGTCGGACTGTTTGCTGGAGTTGGGTCGGTCGTGTCCACCGGCTCGGTGTTGCGAGCGTGTTGTGCCGGTTGTGTTGTGGCTTGTGTGGCTGTGACTGTGGCTGGTGTTGGCCACGGCAGATGGTGCCTGTTCAGCATTTCTGCCCAGTTTTCTGTTGGTCCTGCTCGCTGCATTCCCCCCTTTGGGGTCGGCTGCTGCTGCTGTTGCGTCTGCCTGGGCTGCCTCTGCGGTTGGCTTCCTGCCCTGTTGCCCCTGCGGTCTGTCTGGTCCACGGGCCACCCCCACCGGTAGTGGTGGCGCCTGAGCCAGGCCTTTAGCGCTGCTTTCTCCCGTTTGTTACGGGTTCTTTGTTCCCCGCCACCCTCATGCTTGCTTGCTGTTGCGGCTGGTGGTGTTCGTCTCCTCTGGTGGTTGTTCCCCCCTTCAGCTGCATCGGCTGCTTCAGTGTCGCTCGGGTCTTCTTCCCTTATCCTGGTGTCTATGTCTGCTGGGAGCTGGCCGGTGGTTGCGAACAAGTACGTTTCGCGGACTGTTAGCCCCGGTGGCGGCGAGGTGCCCCTCCCCTGTGTGTCAGTATTGTTGGCTGCTGGTGTTGCGGTGGCATGGGTCGGCTCCTCACTGCTGGTGCTGTCGTCACTGGGTGGTGTTGGCGGCTTGGCTTTGGGTTTGGCTGGCAGTGTATTGGTAGCAGCTGCACCCGTGTCACTTGGCTGGCTTGGTCTGCCGCTGCGTGGTGGTTGGGGTGCTCCCCGCCGCGGGTCGCCTGTTGTTGCAGGTGCTTCCCTCGTCTGCTGCTGTTGCGCCTCCTTCGTGCTCTTCAGCTTCTGCTCTTCTTCCTCCTTTGCGGCTTGTGCTCGTTGCCGCTCTGCTCTGTTCTGTGTTTCCCACCGTCTTGCTTGCGGCGGGCGTGTCGCTTCTTTAGTCGTGGGGTCTGCTATTGTCTGCCAATTCGCTGGTGCTTGTGGTGGTTGTGGCGGTGGATGTTGGCTTCCCGATGCTGCTTGTGGAGGCTGTCGCCCCCGCGTCGCGGTCGTACTGGTCACTTGCACCGCCGTTGCCTGTTGGGCTGCGGCTGTCCCCGCATTGGCTGATGCTTGCGGTGGCTGTTGTGGCTGTTGTGCGTTTCCTGCTGCCTGCTGTGGCTGTCGTTCTTTGGCTGCTGCTGTACTGGCATGCTGTGCGTGGTGCTGGTGGTGCCCCCCTGGTGGCGGGAGTTGGAGCTTAGGCACCCCCAGGAGGCTGCGCACTGGTCTGCCAGGTTGGCGTGGGTCGACTTCTTCTGGTGACAGAACTCCCTCCTCATGCCAGGGGTCCGTCTCTGCGTTCCACGGTTGGGCGTATCCTTTTGCCCAGGTTCTGCCTTGGTGGCTTCCGGATGGTTGTGCCGGTTGTTGTGGTATCTGTGGTTGGTGCTGTGGTGTATGTGGGCTTTCGCTGGTGTTCCATGGGTCATAGCTCCCCCCGACCGTCCTCCGCTGGGGCACCTGTGTGGCGGCCGGTAGCAGTTGGCGTGGTGCTGTCTGCATGGTCTGCTGGAGCTGTTGAGGCGGGTGCGTCCCCTGCGGCGTCGCCGTCTGTGGTGTCAGGGCTGCCGTTGCAGGGCGATGCTGTTGTTGTTCGGACCTTTGTGTGGTCTGTGGCTGTGTGTCCTGTGCGGCTGGTAGGTTGCCTCTCCCCCCTTGGGGTCTGCGCTCTGCTTCTGCCGTGGTGTCCTGTCGCGCCTGCACCATCGTCTTCACGGTCCTCTGTCGCTGGTGGGAGAGGCCCTGCGCCTTGTGTTGGTCTTGCTCGTCTCCCCCCAGCACCGTTTGGCTGTGGCCGAGTCTGGTGCCTCTGGCCCCTTGGCCCTGCTGCTGTACGGGCGGCGGTCCTTGCCCCCCTTTGTGGCCTTGGGTGGCCCAGAGTGCGACTGGGATCCCCCAGCAGAGTGCCGTCAAAACCTTGAGCACGAGGCTGGCCATGGTGTCAGCGGTGTGCTCCCCTGTCGTGCTTGCTTGGGCAAGAATGCTGCAACGGCAGCTGCCTTCCCTTCCAAGCTGAATTCATGTACATAGCGACTGTCATGACATGCAAGCAAAAGGCAGTGTGTGGTTCATGCTGGTACGAACTTGCAGAACATCACATTGGACATGTACTGCAGGTGCAACTGCGGACTCTCCTCTGTTCCCTCACTCAGCTTCAGCTCTCCCCTCACTGCTGTAGCTGGGTCATTCGCTGTTGCTGCGTGCGTCGCGTCCTCTCTCTGTTCGGTCCCAGTGTGCGATTTGGCAGTGCTGGGTGGTTCCCCCTGTGTCCGGGTGCGAGGTTGGTGAGTTGTGGTTGCTTGTTGCTTGCCCATGGTGGGTCGTATCGCTCAACGAAGGATGCTTCAAGCCTGTGCCATGCTTGTCGGTCCAGTGCTACCTGGGGCCAGTCTTCCCCCGCGATGGCTGTTATCTGTCGTTCGGTATCGAGTTGACTGCAGAACCTTGCTGCGTGCCTGGCTCCTTGTGTGGGATGTTTGCGTTGTTCTTCTCTCCAGAAGGCCAGCCCCCGCCACAACAGCATGTCCTTGGTAACCCCCCCTCCTCTGATTACATGTCCCCAGAGTCGCCACACCCTTCGCAGAATGTATGTTGACCACCTCTCTCCTTTGGTCCTGTGCAGTAGGGCTCTTGTGTGACGGAGCGTGCGAGTATTCCAGTCTGCCCAGGTCTCGCTCGGCCGTCTCCCCCCTGTGGTCATGCTGCGGAGCTGGCTCAGCTGTTGCGTGTTGGCTGCTCGTAGCAGGGTGTCGTGCGGCGTCCAGGTTTCGCAACCGTATAGGGCCGTCTGACGCACCAGGGTGTCGTGGAGGTCAGCCCGGGGCTTGAGGGGTGTCGGCGCCTGCAGCACTTTCTTGTTCTGTGCAAAGGCGGCTCTGGCTCTGCTCCCCATTTCTGCTGCAAGTTGTGGCGTGTTCCCTCGGAAGCTGACGGGTGAGCCAAGGACTCGGAGCGGCGTGTCCCCTGGGTCCGGCGCAACCTCCTGTCCACCTACCTTGAAGGTCACCTTGCTCTTCGGGTTGTTGCTGATGATGTGTGTCTTTTTCGGGTTGATCTTGAGGCCGTGTTGGAGCAGCAGTCGCTCCAGTATCTCGAGTGTCTTCTGTATGTGGGCGGGGTTCTCCCCCCAGATGTAGGTGTCATCCATAAAGGAGCCGCCATGGTGTGGGGGGGGGGGGAGAAAGGGGCGGTCCCCCCCTCTGGGCATGGTCTTGGTGGCGTCGAGGGTGCGCTCCACAATCTCCCCCACGCGGGCGGAAAAGAGCGCCGGTGAGTCGGGTGACCCCTGGCGGACGCCGTTGGTTTGTGGGACCTCCACCTCCTGTTCCCCCGCCACGATGTGTATGGTTCTGGCGTCAAGGAGTGCCAGCCATCAGCGTGCCTCCCACGGTTGGGTGGGGCCAACCTGCTGTGTAACCAGTTCCCCCAAACTCTCCTGTGCAACAGAGTCGAAGGCTTTTTGGAGGTCCAGTTTAATAATCCAGAAGTCACCTCCCCAATCGGCACCCATTCTCGCTATTTTGCGGAGCACGAGGATGAGTTCCACCCCCTGTTTCCTTGGTGCCGCCCATTGGTACGTGTTCAGGTGCTGGAGGCACGGTGCTCCCCGCAGTAGCAAAAGCTGGGCGAGGGTTTTGAGCACGGCGCTGCTCAAAGTAATTGGCCTGGTATCCCCCCATCCTTCTGGGCTCCCCCCTTTTGGCAAAAGTACGGTCAGGCCGCGCTCGACCAAGGCAGGCAGCTTCCCCGAGTAGAGGGCCTCGTTCAGCATTGCCAGCACCCTGGGTCCCCATATGGTGTGTGCGATCAGGAGCTGCAAGGCTTCGTGTGCGATGCCGTCGACACCTGTGCTCTTATGTTTCCCCCATTTGCTGCTGACCAGTGTGAGCTCGTCGTGGGTGAAGGGTCGCCAGGGTGTGTGCTTGCATGTGTGGCAGAGTGTGCTGTGCATGTGGTGGAAGGCTTCGTGCTTGGCTGTTCCGTCTGTCTTGTGGAAGATGCTGGAGAAGTGGCTCAAAAGCGCAGCTTGCCACTGGTGTGCGTCCATTAGCGAGGCTAGCCAGTCCCCCCTGGTGCTTGTCTGCTTTTGGTGCTCTCGGAAGGCCGCCCAGTTGTTGGTGCTCGCGAGCGTGACGAGCTGCTGTAGGTGTTGTTTGCGCTCCCCCTTCAACTGTTTCTGCACTTCTTTCCACGCTGTTCGTTGTGCTGGCCCGGCTGGTGTGGCGTGTGCGGCTCGCCGGAGGCGTCTGAGATGTGCGCTTTCGCAGAAGGGGGCGGCATCTCCCCGCCCCGGCTTGGTGATCTGCAGGCAAAGCTGGGAGATCTGGTGGTGTCTGTCGCCGGGCTGTTGCTGGGCTGTGAGTTCCAGGTGGTCGGGTATACTGGTGCCTGCTGGTGGGTGGAGGTGTCCCACTCCGCCGGCTCGAGCCTGCTTGGCGAGCTTTGTCACCTTAGTTCGCAATTGTGCTAGCACCGGGTCGTGGTCGGAGCTAGCCATGTGTCTGGCTGGTATCGGGCTTGCTTGTAAGCTGTAGCCTTTGCGCAGGAGCATGTAGTCCAGGCGGCTGGGTTCGTGCAGCGGGTTGTACGGGTAGTAGCTGGGCACATGTAACGCCTGTGGTGGTAGTCGAAGGTGATGGTGGGTCCCCCAGTTCAGGAGTGCGTCTCCCCGTCCTGTGTGCGCTTGGGCGCATGTAGCGTCACCGGCTGCTTCGGTGATCTGCTCGTTGGCATCTAATCCTAGGGCAACCTTGGGAATCCTGAGCGCCGGTTGCTCCCCCCAATTGGCGAGCATCATCTCGGTCTCCGGTATGGTCGCGTGGTGCGGGATGTGTCCACTGAGTAGCCCCCATCTGTCGCCCGTGTGCATGCGCAGGACGGTGCCGATCCCCCCGTTGGTGACGTTGGTTTGAGTATGTGTTGCCACTGCTGTGCGGAACGCGATCGCCTCTCCTCTGAACTCTCCCTCTTTCTTGCCATAGACCAGTTTCCAGCCATGTCCTTCGAGGAAGAACTTGCCGGGTTTGGTGATAACTTCCTGTAGCATGATCGCATGCAGCATGCAAAGATGTTTGGCTCCCCCGAACGAGCGCAGCAGGTCAAGCGTGCCATTTGCTGTCAGGCCGCCCACGTTCCAGGTTGCCAGGTGAAAACAGTCCACCCCTTTAAGGGGTTTGAAAGTGCTCAGCGGTCCGGGCGACGGTTCGTCCTCCCCCCCGCTCTCTTCAGTGCTTCCTGTGGGTTCTTCGCCTCACTCACTGTAGCCACTGGTTGCCCCAGGCCCTGTGCAATGGCTCGGAGGTCGATCCAGCCGGCTCCCGCGGTCTCTGCCCCTGCGACTGGCGTCGTTGTAGCTGAGCACACTCGAACTGCCTGCCACCACACAGTACCAGTAGCCCATTCCACTTCTAGACCATGGGTGTTCCCCCCGTTGGAGGCGAGGATGAGCCGCTTCACTTTCCCGGCCAGGTGTGCTCGACGGCGGCGTTCCGGTGACTGGCTCATCTGGAGCCACAAGTAGCGCATCCCCCCGTCTTCTTTGCGTCCCATGACCACGTTTGCGTTGCGGATGCGTCGCAGCGCTTGCTGCAGGCGTTCTCGTAGTTCTCCCCCGGCTTCATTGCGACGTGCTTGGTAGGGGATGATCACGTACCCGCGGCGAACGCCGGGGCAGAAGGCGCTGTCCATATCCAGGTCCAGCCTCAGCTGGGAAACCATGTCCTTGGCTTTCTGTAGGGTTTCGGCGGCCGGTGTGTCATCGTCCCAACCTCCGAATATAAGCGCCGGTTGCTTGGATCCCCCTTCGGTATCTGCCGTGGAACTTCCTCCTTGAAGTTGTAGTTGCTGGACTTTGCGCTCCAGTTGTGTAAGCCTTCCCCCGGTGGCTTGCTGGTCGGCTTGCACGGCCGCGATGGCTCTCCCCTGTTCTGCTTGGCTGTCCGTCAGTGCTGCCAGTTTCTCCAAGGTGCGTTCCAACTGGTTCCCCACTTTCTCCTCAACCGTGTCCATGCGCTTGTTGACCGACTGCGAGATCTCCTGTTTGAGGGCGGTGCTGCTGAGCGACAATTCGCCCTTGATGACTTCCCTGATGGCATCGAGGCTGAGGCCGTCTCCCCCTTCCGGCGCGCCTCTCTTCTTTGCTCCCCCTGGGGCTTCTGCCTCCATTGGCGTAGTCATGGTTATTATTCGCGGTGGCGATGCCCAAGTCACGAACACTGAGTTCAAGTAGGCGGCGTTCGAGGTAGTCCCCCCGGTGAATCGGCTTGTAGGCGGTGGTCACGCGTAGGCCGCCTTGCCAATGTGGTAGCAGGTAGCAGTTGACAGGCTCCCCCGCTCGCCTCCGCGCGGTGCCGTTGAGCTCCGTGGCCCCCGAACTCGCTCACAGAAGCGGTGTGCAAGTAGGCGCGTAGATCTGCAGACTGGTAGCCGAGCTCGGATTGCGGCTCGGTCTGAGGCCGGTGCCTGCAGGATTTCGCACCTAAGTGGGGTCGAGGTCCCCCCGCCTATGTTGGTTGAGGTGCCTGGTCACGGGGCGGCACCTTGAGCACTCGCTCTCTCTCTCTCTCTCTCTCTCTCTCTTTCTTTCTTTCGCCAGGGCTATGGTGTAGAGGTTTCCCTCTACACCGCGCGTCAGCGCCCCCGACTCTCTCTCTCTCTCTCTCTCTCTCTCTCTCTCTCTCTCTCTCTCTCTCTCTCTCTCTCTCTCTCTCTCTCTCTCTCTCTCTCTCTGTTTCAGACAAGCAATATCTGGCACCTGCAGAAGTACATTTGTTGCGCAAATACATGGAACTACATAGCTCGTGCGACTTCCTAGCGTTTGCATGCTGTCAAAAGCTGCGGCGATGTCTAGGACAGGATACGAACCCAACAACCCCAATACCTGGCCTTGCCGCACTTTAAGGAAACGCAAACAATAGCACACGATGCTTTTTGCAGCATCGTTGCCTGTGGAGCTTCTGCAGCGGCGGCCGTCATGACCTTAGCAGGTCACGCAACATGTCAAACATGGAGTTGACACAAAGTTGTGAATTGCTGAACAAAGCAAACGGAAGTGTTCGACACATTTCCTTTATCTTGCCAGTCTATTTTCAAACAGGTTAAAAATAGGAGAGATACCATTGATCTTCTATGTCCACCAACTTTGCGCAATTGATCGCAACGATGAAGCCGATGGCTGTAATTATGATCACGGCGAAAGTTGCAACTGCAATATTCCTCGGCACTTCAATGAACCACTACTACACCGTCCCAATTGTCCCGGTCTGCAGCCACCCTTGCCCAATCACGACCCTGCTGCTGCTGCCTAGGATTCATTGCGAGGCCACACGACACAAGCTCCTAGCTGAACCTTAAACTTCTCAGACTCCACGGAGACGGGCCTATTATCCCTTCAGATTGCTTTATGGGGCATTCAGTTTCTCAGGCAGGCTTTCCTTCCACCTGATTCCGTCTGCTTGTGTCCCGTCACACACCCGAATCCTCAACATGCCACACCGAAAACTTGCTCTTACTAACTTAGACACGCACCTGAAAACTGAAAGTCATGCTTAGCAAAAGCCATCTTTTCTCTGAAGGGCGAAGTAGTGGTAGTGCCAAATCTAGAGGATGTGTGCCAGTGAGATGAGGCACGCAAAAACACAGGCCTCCGAGCCTTAGTTCTGAAGATGTTCTCGCTCGTAGAGTCGAAGCAGCTGAAAGGGAGAGGATGGGCTAAGCGCGAAATCCCAAATTCCCTAACCCAAAGACAACCTACACAAGCCCCGGTGCCTCTGCCTCCTCGGTTGTGCCCCAGATCCTAGCTGCCAGCTTGGGATTTTGCGCTCAGGGTTTCATGTGTGATGCCACAGATGCAAAGCCCTGCAACCTAAACGCGAGCAACTCAACGCGGAAGCCTTCAACTCACTCCGTTGTCTGAGTCATCCCCCCTCTGCTCTCGGGCCCGCACCAGGCGAGCCAGCCCTTCGCAATCACACACGAAAGCAACACTACTACAAAGACGATCAAAGACCTAGCTAGACGCTGCTGGACAAAAACGAGCCGGCTGAAGCGCTGCAACCACCGGCCGGAGTTCTATGCAAGCCTCAAACCAAAACTCCTGATCTGTAGATGCTCTTGTCGGGCTTAGGGCCTGCATTTTCGCCCCCACGATTCCAGAGCACTCCCGCCGTCCCAGCCGTTCAGCTTTGAATCCAAAACACTCCTGTCCCATGTCCTAAAGACAAGAACCCACCACCATCCCACAATCCACACCCAAGGTACAAAACGTGCACAAACCATGGTCTAACCTTGCATCGTGATCAATGCGTGTTTGAGTTCAATTCTGCTGGGATACTGGCTAGAAGGATCCTGAATTGACTACTTAATTCCCGGTCTAATTTAATTAAGTTGCCATAATCGGGATCTATAGTGAATAATATGGTTTTCTTCATATGGTTACTTAAATTAGATCCCTTAACATAAACCCTTGTTCTGGGTGCCTGATCGGCATGCAACGGATTCGCCGCAGCCATGGCCAGGTGCAAAGCTCAGGAACCCCCGCTGGGAGATGCATCGGGCGATTGTCGGTTCTGTGACTTCTTCACTCACGGGGCCTTTAAGGGTTGAGGCTGGAGAGCTTGGGTACTCCGCTGCCGGTTGGAGCAGTACTTGTGTGAACATACTTCCCGTGATGACTCTGAGAAAACTTGCGTTCCAGGGCGGCCTTTCCTACCGACAATTGCCGAAAAGGGTCAGCGCTGGGCGCGAGGTGTGAAGTTTTTTCGAACTTGACCTGTCTTGCAGTTTCCATGCCGCGTTTATGTCCCTGTACATTGATCGTATGAACCTGGACCATCAGCTATGGACAGCTCGGGTGATCTTCAAATTCAATTAAAAGCGTGCTCAGCTCAAACGACTCAGAGCCACAACAGCTTCTCTCAGATTGTTTTGCTTCCACTTTTCTTGGCTGCACGGATCTCGCATCGAGCCACATTGGGCTCGTTGTCCGGCAGCTATCGGCCCTCCTCAGCTGGGTCCATGTCCGGGATTCTCTGGGAGGTTCATTTCCATCCAAGCACTTTTGGTTGCGCCCAGCCCCGCCACGACAAGTATGCAAACAACAAGAACTCGAATTTTGACAACAGTCCCCGCAAAGTCGAGATTGGAGGTGCAGGGCGGCTCGAATCCGTATGGGGCAGCTTAAAAAGGAGATGATAAAGCCTCTAGTGAGGCTTCAAACTTGCCTGCTGCCAGAGAGCAGCACATATCCATGGTAAGCTGAGATAACTTCTTCCTCTTTCGAGTTCCTTTACAGCATCCCTGCCAAAGGTTGAATGTACGTGGCTTTCTGGCCTGACTGATGTAATATGCATGAAGTGCTGACAAGCTTTGGACTAACGATTTTGAGCCTTGGAGATTTGGGTTTTGAAATTTGTGGCCTTCGATCTCGGTCTGGGTGTTGAACTGTCAAGCTTCGGGGCAAGAGGCAAGAGGGAGTACACGCGCAAAAGGACCAAAGGAGCATTTCTTTACCACAGTGAGGAGCCAGAATTCCGAACCGGAGTAACCAGCAGATTTCGGACACTCCTCCACGGAACGTCAGCTAAATTCTAGACCTCATCATGCAAGAACCTGCACTATCCTGGTGACGATAGGATGGCAATGCTTTGCAATAATTCGGCGTCGAAAGTTGATACTACCATGTCAGGTTCAGGTCCTCATGTCTCTTCCCAGTGTTTGGGGAGTATCTTGCTGGGCCCACAAATTTGAGGAAGTTCTTATCTGCGAGCCAAGTGGCAAGAGTTCCAAGGAGAGCATCGCTGATGGATTCTTTGAGGCGCCGCCCTGATGTTGAGTTCACAGTGAATGCAACAACGGAGTGTTTGGGCAAACTTGCACTCCAAGTTTCGGCGTTTGCTAACCCGACACCCTAACTCTAAACCCTACAGTGCAATAACCTACATGGTACATCTCCTGAACAACTGATGCCGTCTTGGGGGCAGGTGGTATGATTCTGGATCAGAGAATGCAGCTAGCCCATCGCATGCCATAGCAATGAAGCCATCTGAGACAAGCTCTTCCTGCGCTTGCATGTCTCAAACAATTCTTGGCCCGGTCATACCATGAAAACTCTGATCTTGTACAAAGCATGACGACAATCAATGATGGAAGCCGCAGTGACCCCAAGACCCCACACCTTCTGCACATAATCCTGCCCCTGGACCACCGAAGTGGAGATTCCAGGGCTTGGCCGGGTAGGCATCTGCTGAGCCTCAACGCTACTCCCACAGCTACAATCAAAGCCCATACCCCAAACCGTTAAAGCGAAACCGCATATCCTACATCTAACCTCCAGAACACCCTGGACCCCACACTAGACTCTGAAACTTGCATCCATGCCCTCCTGTGATGAAAGGGAATCCCTCGTTGCTGAGGCGCGGTCTCGAGCAAATCTCCAGGTCCACTTCCCAATACATAGTGCTCCTCAGGATTGGGGCATGGGGTTTAGTGTCGAGGGTTTAGAGTTAAGCGTAACGTAGGTGCCCAACTAATCAGGACGGTTCGGGGATGCATTTTACGTAAGGGTTCAAAGGGGCACAACGCTTTAAATGCCCAGGCTGCGTCCAGCAATTCTGCTCTTATCAGGAACAAGCGGACATCGAAGGCAGTAGTTTAGACTACAGTGCAGAACTACAAACATCCTGTTTAAGAATGACTGTCCGGGTCTTCGCGCTGGCAAAACCTGTCCTGATTCACATCCCGGGTTCTAATTCGGAACAGGAGCTTGCAAAGGTGCAATGGGGGACCCAGAATACGTGCTGATTTAGGAGCTTTCTTCCAAGGACCTCAGATAAGAGATTCATGGCTCTCCTAGGCAAATCTCATGCACAGTACGAAGCATGTGTGCAATGCTGAGTCTCAACCCTAAGGCCTAAGCCTCAGACCTCGCATTGCAACCGGCTAAAGGGGTTCAGACTCAAAGCCTGGCCGTAACTTCAAGGTCTTGTTAAGGGGGGCTCCACATAGGAGGGCCCGATAGTAGGAGAAGGAGACTTCGGGGAACCTTGATCCAGCCATCGGTTTTGGGGGAGGGAACGCCTCCTGAATGGCTTCATACCTGCGACCTTTGTAGAGCTCCCGTGCATGCCGGAGCTGAAGGGATTCCTAGGACGTACGTGAGCGATGCCCAAGGGCGTCAGGCATTTGACTAGCTGGGAAGGCTTGTGTTCCAATTAAAGCCCATAGTGTCCAAGCCAACATCCTGTGCCGTTGGAAGTCCCCCAATGGTTTGGATAGGTTCTTGCGTTCAAAGGACAGAAACATTGATACCGCCTCAAGCGCCAGTTTGACTTTCTCGTGTTTCTACCTGTTGGCGAGCCCAGGGTCTCCTCTAAACGAAACTAAGCTGGCGGTCTTGGATGAACCGAAAGATTAAGTTGTTCTGTCCAAAAAGAGCAGATCAACTGAAACTGTAAGGAAAACACCCACGTCCCCCCTCCAAGACAGGCGAGCTGCATCGACCAAACGGGCTTCATGAGCAACCTCTAGCAAACGAGTGGGAGCTCCTAGAAACTAGTTTTCGGGTGTAAGCCAAAGTCATTGAAAAGGGTACATACGCGTGTACAGTAAATAGGATTTGGGGTGAGGGTGTCGTCGAAAATCAAGCGGGAAGGAAAGTTGAACATGGAGTGAGAAGTTAAGTGACTGATGTAGCGATTGATTTAGGGCTTAAGGGTGAGCTAAGCATCTAAGGCAGGACTTGCCGCTGGGTCAAAGTACTGTAAATCACGAAACATGAGGCTTGAAACAAACAAGATAACACGTTGTAGTAACGTAGTTTGGTATGGGCGGCTTACACTGACCCCCTTTGGGGGAACGGCGCGGAATGGTCAAGCACAAGCATGAGATCCTTGAGACCCGCTGAAGAGCTGTAAGTCTTCCTCCAAGCGGGATCACGATGCTATGATCAAGATGATGGACAATGTGTGACGACTGGCTCTGGTCTCATTCTTCGTGAGGGGGTGTGCCTTCAAAGTAGGGGGTAATGTAGAGGCGCTAAGAACACAAGAGAACTGTCTGGATCTCTCAACTAATGGAAAAGCCCTTTCCAGCTCAGTCATGCTTCCAGGATTTGGCGGGCGGTGGTTCGGAATGGGTCAATGTTGGGAGTGTAGAATGGCTGAGATGCCCTGACTTGAATTCACCAGAGCTAGTTAAGTCCGAAACCTCACGCCAACTGTTTCAATGCTGCACCATGCTGCACCCGTCAGCAGTTTATGACCCAATTGTGATCCGAATGCTGTGAATTTGATGATGGCATCAATATGAGGTCAGAGTGGTGCACAGCGACAATTCAAACACCCACCACCATTCTGAACCCTCGAAGACATATCCCTGTTTGGCTTGCAAACCTAACAGCTAAAGCCCACAACTCACAGTCACCCCTACAGCTTACGCTTTGCATCCACCATTCTGCCACCCTCGGAAACGCGAGATCGCGAATCCTAACCCCTTACGTAACCTAATAGCCTTCAACCCGGGTAGTGCTCAAAAGACGGGTATTTTGGCATCACACACGCATGAAAGGGTCCTTGCTGTAAGCACTGCCAACAGCTAAAGTTGCAGGATGGCAAAGCCTTGATTCGCAGGCCAAAGCCTTGTTATGGGTTGTTCCAGCAGTAGAATAGGAGTCGTCCTTGAGTAGCCTGAAGTATTCCAAATGCCACTAAACCTTATTGAGGCCAGGGTCTAGAAGGCAGTTCCTTCCTGGGAACTGGCGGACGGGTTTTTGAGCTCCTGTCCGGACACCGTTTGAAGGGCTGAGGGTCGGGGTGGGGTGCCCATAGTTTCGGGGTTCTGGTTTCAGATCGGCTGGGAGGCAGTTTCGGATAAGAGGGGTGAGTTTCGGGGCTGCGTTTCGGGACGACGGGGGCCAGTTTCGGATCGGGCCCCGGTCAGTTTCGGATGGGCCGAGGTCAGTTTCAGGTCCACCCCGATGCCGAAGCGGTCGTATGTTGCGTGCAGTAGGCCGCTTCAAAGAACTGTGTTAAACGATGAACCGTGGAAGGCCCCTAAACCAACCCAAACCCAAACACAACCCGAACCGCAACCCCAAAAAGCCAAAACCCCAAACCCCGAGAAAGCACCACCTGATTGCACTAACCCCTGCATGCACAGCTTTATGCCCTAGCGAAGAGAACCCGGTTTGTTGGCTTGCGGATGAGGTGTTTGAGGGGTCACTGCGAACCAACTGGAACCCAAACCCTGAGCCCCAACAAGAACTCTGAACCACTGCGACGGTTGCTGGGCACGAGCGATTCTAAACCTGAAAGTCCTACGTTAGCCTTTTGGAAAATGCGCGTAACATAACTTCTGGGTACCGTAACGAGCAAGACCGAATGATCCTAATGCAACCCGAAAAGCACAGCTCAACCGCACTGACAAGGTACTACTATACCGAACAACCCCCTGATTGCTTCCGGCCCCAGCCTCGAGATACCAGTCTTTCACCATCTGCAGGAACTGGAAAATCTGCGTGGCGGTCTCCTCTGCTTGAGCGATTCGGAATACTTGGGGGCTCGGGGTTGATCCACTGTGCCAGTCTTCCACACGGGTCGAAGCGTTCGCGCACGCTTGAAGGCTTAAATAGAACCCTGATCCCTGCTCTAACCCCTATAGATCTGAATCAAACCTGAAACCCAAAGAAGGACACCGCAGGCCTGAGGCGCATAACCTTACATAACTACACCTCAGCTTCCAAGTGTAAAGCGGATCAGGGAGCCTCGTCCCCAAAGGTTTTATGGCCCGAGGTCCTGGTTCTTCAGGTTCTTGTCTGGATGCCACTTCCGGCACGCTTCCTCATGCTTGCCGGTTTAGGGTTCGGGGGCTCGAGGTTCAGGATCTATAGGGCCTGGGATCAAGGGAAGCTGGGCCCAGACTTTGTGCGGTTCCGTGTCTCCCGCTGCGCTTCGCTCGTCCTCCCCGCTCGCAGCACCAAGTGCAGTGCTGTCTGTTACCTTCACCCAGACCCACCTCCCCTTCCTCCCACCGCCTCCTCTTTGACTTCCCCCCCCGCTCTGCACTTGGTGCAGCGCTGTCTTCTCGCACTTTGTGCAGTGCTGACCACCTCTTCTCCAGCCCTTCAGCATCCCAAGTCCGGGCACCTGCCTTCCCATCCTCCTGCAATCATTCCCCCTCCCCTCCTTTCCCCGCCCCCCTTCCCATCTCCTGCCCATCCCGGTCCTGTCGTCGGAGATGGTCGCGAGGGTTTAAGGGCTTAGTTGTTTAGGGGTTTAGGGCTTCCGGGGGGGGTAGGGGTTGGGGTTTCAGGTTTTGGGGTTTGGAATCTTCGGTGCAGTTGTGCAGTTGTCTATTGTGGTGGCAGCGTGGAGTCTAGAATGAGCAGAGCAACCATATGATTTCTACTTTCAACAGCTGAGCCATGCTAAGCCGCCTTCAAATGGGGCTGTTGGGGATTGAAGTTTGGAATGACACTATTTATAGTACATGTTGTCAATGCAAACCTTGCACCACGAGCCTCATGACAATGAATTCGGGTTTAGGGTTCGGGGCCTAAGCCTGCAACTCTATTGCTGTTGTCCAGAATCTTACCTTGCTCGAACCCTAGTGGCCCTAGTAACCAATTGTAATTGTAAGCATCATTAGACACACCCTAAGCCCTAAGCCATAAACCCTTATTATACGGTTTAACGATATGTGGGGTTAAGTACAGCCTAATAGCTCTAGAGAGGACCCCGTTGACGAAGGTTCGCGATTGGGGGCGGGGTTCGTCGGTGGCTGTCGGGGCGCTGCTGGCTGTTCTGCTATGGTGCTGTCTCTATCTGTGTGGCCCTGACAGAATCGGTTTTACATTCCTAAGGCGGGCTCCACCCTGAGCTGCGAGCTACAGGTAGGGTGCCAGGGCCAGGTGCTGGGTGTAGCGCGCACCTCAAAGTCTTAAGTGTCCCCTGAGCCTCTGAGGAAGTTGCTACATGCAGCTACTTACTTATCGACCTTCTCACGAGTGAACGCACGAATGCCCACAACTCAAATACTACAAACTGGAAGATCTGAAATCCTCAATGAAGTCGGAAAAACAGGGCTAAGGCGACTAAGGGTCGTGCTTTAGGGCTTTAGTGACTTTCTTTGAGTGCCAGGCCATATACACCTGCCGGCGGTCGGAGAGTGGCTTCGTCTGAGTCTGGGACCTTCGCTTTGGCACAGCACCAAACCGGTTGAGCGTGAGGCCTTTCAAAACCTGGGGCGCCAGCTTCCACATGCTCTCGAACAGAACTTCGGCCACGCTCCGGGCCCGGTCGTCTTCCGGCCACCCGACACCCTTTGGCAGCTTCATGGCAGCCTCCCGTGGACCATCGCGGACTTTTCGGGGGCTTCATGTGATGTCTTGGGCGGGAGTCCGTATCCATTTGTTTGGATCGTGGACCTGGTGCTTAGGAGAAGGCGTTTGCCCACAAAGCCATCTACTCCAAATCCACGTACAAATAGTAAAACCTGGCAAGATCGAAAACACAGAGTGCACTTCCAACGGACTGAATGAGCTGACCCGCAAGGACCGGAGGAGCGTGGAACTTGGGCGTCAGGCTAAGCGGGTCAGGATTGAAGCATTGACTTAGTTACTTAGTTCTATCCTTGCCTGCAGGCGACGAGCCTTCATCTCTTCTATCTCTCCCATAAGTTCATGAACACCTGAGCCACGGCCGAGAGACTTGAAGTGCATGTGACGATGCTACCTTCCGACTTGAGGCAAGACTATACAACCGCAAGCGGACAGCCGAGTGTCGCATGGCAGCGAGATGCAGAGATGACATTGAGTTCACGGTGTGGCCGCGGTCGTGCGTGCGGACTAGTATTCCACCCCTCCTGGCAAAGCAAGCTCATGAACCCACATCTCCACGTGAAGGGAGACAGGGCGCACAAAGGGGACCGCAACCTTGACAAAAATGCACTCCACCCCAAAAAAACACTGAAAATTCGCCTTCCGCACACATCCAGAGTTCCCAAGAACCGGTTGTGAGCAAAATACCGTAAGGGTTGATACGTCAAGCCCAGCACCTCGACAGAGAAAGACAGAAGTTCTTCTGTGTTCATGGCACTCCTAGGCTAGGCCCCAATAGAGGAACAGTCTCCTTCCGGCGGAGGGTATAATTGTGAGGCCGCCGTATTGTCCCCTACTGAGCCATTCTCACTGCATGGTGGGGGGGTGTGAGTGTTTAAACCGGGGTAAGCCTGTCTGAAGTTGTGTTTTAAAGCTCTCGTGCATGTCAAACAAGTTGCTCTGAGGCTATGGCCCTGGATGAAATTCCGCCACCACTCATCCTTCACCTGAAGCAGTGACGAGGGCACATATCTGTCAGACTCACGCAAGCAGCGTTAGGATGATGCCGACAATCCGGTCGCCATCGCATCCAGAGACTTGTTGCTCTCAACTCTTTTCTTTTGCACACTCGCTTTCCTTGCTATTGCTTTACGGGCTCGACTCAGCACTACCACCATGTCTCAAATCAACCAGATCCCAGGTGCCGCAGCATCCTCATCCAGCTTCCGCCACTCGTCGTGATCACCGAAGGTGTTCGGCACCAGCCTCGAATTGGATGTCGCCGCTGCATGCGTACGTATGCTTGTGGCACCTCCCGCAAGGCTCATGACGTGTCTGTACCGCACTGCATCCAAGTGGCAATCGAAGGTTGTGGCTCCGAACTTGAGCAACTTCTTCCGAACCGAGAAGCTGCACCTGGTAGCCTCGTATTTCGCACACCGTTTTTGCGCCTCGTCTTTGGCTCTTCCCTCATGGCCGCATGTTCAGAAGCTACCTTATCAGTGGGACATCCCACAGAGAGGTTGCGCTGAGGACCCAGCGGCCCGTGACCGTATCTTCCAGCAGGATGGTCCCGGAGACGCCGTTGAATTGAGGATGCCGCAGTAGCCCTCGCACACCAAGACCGGCAGTGAGCAGTGCAAGGCGGCGCAGTCAGATCTTTGAACTGCCTTCGATGACGACAATGTCGCCAGCAGCAAACACCTTCTGCAGGCATCAACGCAAGCAACTCTACAAATTAGCTCAAATTATGTGTCTGCCTCAGAACTCAGAACCAAGACTTCGGGCTGGGCTTTGCAGGGACGCGGTAAGGGCTTGATTGGGTGGCCGTTAAGGAACTTAACCTCCGTTACCATATTCGGGAAGCCATATTATTTACCTGCTCTCCGACACATTCACAGCGTATGGCAGCTGTCCAGATGTCGATGCATGCTTTCAAACGGTTTGCCAGGAGTGCTCAACGAAGCTTCTACACATGGCCAGTTTGCTCCAACGCATGATTTTCAGAGGTTTAGGGCTCAGGGTGGCTTGAAGCACCAGACCAGCAACGTCTCTCGAAGTGAACATGAAAGACGCTCGTCGCGTAAAAGGTCGTACAGGTGAACCGGCAAGAATAACCCAAACGGTCAATGGTATAGTGTCCTTGACATGCTTTGACATACAGGTACAGTAGTTGATCCCGTTGCTGGAGGCCTCTTCCTTGGCAGGCAAAGCTGCTTCCGGCGTGCTCGCTGCCTCCCAACAGATTGTCGAGAAGTTCACGATTGGAGTGAAGGAGGCAGGACACGTGCACCATAGAACGCAGCACAACATCCCACGGCAACGACGACAACGACATGACAGGCGTCGCATGTGCCACTGCATTTACTTACGGAAATCGAGAGAAACACTTGCCGAATTCCGAGACCCCACGTGCCGTCAGCCCGGGTGCCTTTGGCTCTCCCAGCACAGACTGGTCAAACCTCGGCAATGGCTGTCGTCTAAAGGATTGCCCGCGAAGCTTCAAACGAGAAGTCCCACCCACCCCATGGAGTGGATCCCTTTCTGGCTTCAACCGGTCTCCTCCCCTTACCCCAGCCCCCTACCGACTGCATTCAAGAGCTGAAAGCGAGGTCTCAGGCCTCGTAGCATCTGACTCGTCCAGGCTTCAGGATCTTCAGGCTTGTGAGAGGATAGGTTTCAGCGCTTCAGAGCTTAGGGCTTCGGCGGTTTAGGGTTACAAGTTTCGGGTTTGCCTAAACCCTAAATAAAGTGTATGCTTGTGCCACCTCCCGCAAGGCTCATGACGTGTCTGTACCGCACTGCATCCAAGTGGCAATCGAAGGTTGTGGCTCCGAACTTGAGCAACTTCTTCCGAACCGAGAAGCTGCACCTGGTAGCCTCGTATTTCGCACACCGTTTTTGCGCCTCGTCTTTGGCTCTTCCCTCATGGCCGCATGTTCAGAAGCTACCTTATCAGTGGGACATCCCACAGAGAGGTTGCGCTGAGGACCCAGCGGCCCGTGACCGTATCTTCCAGCAGGATGGTCCCGGAGACGCCGTTGAATTGAGGATGCCGCAGTAGCCCTCGCACACCAAGACCGGCAGTGAGCAGTGCAAGGCGGCGCAGTCAGATCTTTGAACTGCCTTCGATGACGACAATGTCGCCAGCAGCAAACACCTTCTGCAGGCATCAACGCAAGCAACTTTACAAATTAGCTCAAATTATGTGTCTGCCTCAGAACTCAGAACCAAGACTTCGGGCTTGGCCTTGCAGGGACGCGGTAAGGGCTTGATTGGGTGGCCGTTAAGGAACTTAACCTCCGTTACCATATTCGGGAAGCCATATTATTTACCTGCTCTCCGACACATTCACAGCGTATGGCAGCTGTCCAGATGTCGATGCATGCTTTCAAACGGTTTGCCAGGAGTGCTCAAAGAAGCTTCTACACATGGCCAGCTTGCTCCAACGCATGATTTTCAGAGGTTTAGGGCTCAGGGTGGCTTGAAGCACCAGACCAGCAACGTCTCTCGAAGGGAACATGAAAGACGCTCGTCGCGTGAAAGGTCTTACAGGTGCGGCAAGAATAACCCAAAAGGTCAATGGTATAGTGCCCTTGACATGCTTTGACATACAGGTACAGTAGTTGATCCCGTTGCTGGAGGCCTCTTCCTTGGCAGGCAAAGCTGCTTCCGGCGTGCTCGCTGCCTCCCAACAGATTGTCGAGAAGTTCACGATTGGAGTGAAGGAGGCAGGACACGTGCACCATAGAACGCAGCACAACATCCCACGGCAACGACGACAACGACATGCCTCCGGAGTAGCCGCTTCCTGCTCGAAGTCCTGGAGAGACTTCTCCAGGCTGCCATCTTCGGCGGCTTGGCGAAGCGATGCGGATGCCTTCTGCATGGTTCTGGGTTCCTCAGCCGCTGCTGGCGCCTGCATTGAAAGTAAGATTAAACATTCCACAAGCATCGGAAGTCTTGAATGAACAAAGCTCACGGACATAAACTGATGCTGGGACAGCGCGTCGCATGTGCCACTGCATTTACGGAAATCGAGAGAAACACTTGCCGAATTCCGAGACCCCACGTGCCATCAGCCCGGGTGCCTCTGGCTCTCCCGGCACAGACTGGTCAAACCTCGGCAATGGCTGTCGTCTAAAGGATTGCCCGCGAAGTTTCAAACGAGAAGTCCCACCCACCCCATGGAGTGGATCCCTTTCTGGCTTCAACCGGTCTCCTCCCCTTACCCCAGCCACTTATCGACTGCATTCAAGAGCTGAAAGCGAGGTCTCAGGCCTCGTAGCATCTGACTCGTCCAGGCTTCAGGATCTTCAGGCTTGTGAGAGGATAGGTTTCAGCGCTTCAGAGCTTAGGGCTTCGGCGGTTTAGGGTTACAAGTTTCAGGTTTGCGATCTAGTTTAGGGTTTAGGTTTGTCCAAACCACCCCTCCCCTACTCTCGGCCGCGTGCCAGGTCATGCACCAGGCGAACCAGCCCTGCGTCTCCAACAGAATGCATCATGGCTTTTTGCAGGATTAACCAGTCTGCTCCACCGCATGACGTTCAGGGGTTTAGGGTTCAGGGTGTATATGGATCAGCGCTTTCACATGTAGACGCTTGAAGCACCAGACCAGCAACGTCTCTCGAAGTGAACATGAAAGACGCTCGTCGCGTGAAAGGTCGTACAGGTGAACCGGCAAGAACCCAAACGTCAATGGTACAATGCCCTTGACATGCTTTGACATACAGGTACAGTAGTTGATCCCGTTGCTGGAGGCCTCTTCCTTGGCAGGCAAAGCTGCTTCCGGCGTGCTCGCTGCCTCCCAACAGATTGTCGAGAAGTTCACGATTGGAGTGAAGGAGGCAGGACACGTGCACCATAGAACGCAGCACAACATCCCACGGCAACGACGACAACGACATGCCTCCGGAGTAGCCGCTTCCTGCTCGAAGTCCTGGAGAGACTTCTCCAGGCTGCCATCTTCGGCGGCTTGGCGAAGCGATGCGGATGCCTTCTGCATGGTTCTGGGTTCCTCAGCCGCTGCTGGCGCCTGCATTGAAAGTAAGATTAAACATTCCACAAGCATCGGAAGTCTTGAATGAACAAAGCTCACGGACATAAACTGATGCTGGGACAGCGCGTCGCATGTGCCACTGCATTTACGGAAATCGAGAGAAACACTTGCCGAATTCCGAGACCCCACGTGCCATCAGCCCGGGTGCCTCTGGCTCTCCCGGCACAGACTGGTCAAACCTCGGCAATGGCTGTCGTCTAAAGGATTGCCCGCGAAGTTTCAAACGAGAAGTCCCACCCACCCCATGGAGTGGATCCCTTTCTGGCTTCAACCGGTCTCCTCCCCTTACCCCAGCCACTTATCGACTGCATTCAAGAGCTGAAAGCGAGGTCTCAGGCCTCGTAGCATCTGACTCGTCCAGGCTTCAGGATCTTCAGGCTTGTGAGAGGATAGGTTTCAGCGCTTCAGAGCTTAGGGCTTCGGCGGTTTAGGGTTACAAGTTTCAGGTTTGCGATCTAGTTTAGGGTTTAGGTTTGTCCAAACCACCCCTCCCCTACTCTCGGCCGCGTGCCAGGTCATGCACCAGGCGAACCAGCCCTGCGTCTCCAACAGAATGCATCATGGCTTTTTGCAGGATTAACCAGTCTGCTCCACCGCATGACGTTCAGGGGTTTAGGGTTCAGGGTGTATATGGATCAGCGCTTTCACATGTAGACGCTTGAAGCACCAGACCAGCAACGTCTCTCGAAGTGAACATGAAAGACGCTCGTCGCGTGAAAGGTCGTACAGGTGAACCGGCAAGAACCCAAACGTCAATGGTACAATGCCCTTGACATGCTTTGACATACAGGTACAGTAGTTGATCCCGTTGCTGGAGGCCTCTTCCTGGGCAGGCAAAGCTGCTTCCGGCGTGCTCGCTGCCTCCCAACAGATTGTCGAGAAGTTCACGATTGGAGTGAAGGAGGCAGGACACGTGCACCATAGAACGCAGCACAACATCCCACGGCAACGACGACAACGACATGCCTCCGGAGTAGCCGCTTCCTGCTCGAAGTCCTGGAGAGACTTCTCCAGGCTGCCATCTTCGGCGGCTTGGCGAAGCGATGCGGATGCCTTCTGCATGGTACTGGGTTCCTCAGCCGCTGCTGGCGCCTGCATTGAAAGTAAGATTAAACATTCCACAAGCATCGGAAGTCTTGAATGAACAAAGCTCACGGACATAAACTGATGCTGGGACAGCGCGTCGCATGTGCCACTGCATTTACGGAAATCGAGAGAAACACTTGCCGAATTCCGAGACCCCACGTGCCATCAGCCCGGGTGCCTCTGGCTCTCCCGGCACAGACTGGTCAAACCTCGGCAATGGCTGTCGTCTAAAGGATTGCCCGCGAAGTTTCAAACGAGAAGTCCCACCCACCCCATGGAGTGGATCCCTTTCTGGCTTCAACCGGTCTCCTCTCCTTACCCCAGCCACTTATCGACTGCATTCAAGAGCTGAAAGCGAGGTCTCAGGCCTCGTAGCATCTGACTCGTCCAGGCTTCAGGATCTTCAGGCTTGTGAGAGGATAGGTTTCAGCGCTTCAGAGCTTAGGGCTTCGGCGGTTTAGGGTTACAAGTTTCAGGTTTGCGATCTAGTTTAGGGTTTAGGTTTGTCCAAACCACCCCTCCCCTACTCTCGGCCGCGTGCCAGGTCATGCACCAGGCGAACCAGCCCTGCGTCTCCAACAGAATGCATCATGGCTTTTTGCAGGATTAACCAGTCTGCTCCACCGCATGACGTTCAGGGGTTTAGGGTTCAGGGTGTATATGGATCAGCGCTTTCACATGTAGACGCTTGAAGCACCAGACCAGCAACGTCTGTAACTAGGCTGGGCAGAAACCCCTAAACCGTTCTCGAGGGGTTCACCGAACATGCTTCGACCTTCCAAGCTGTGCTTCCAACAAGACACAGGGCTGATCCAAGCTGTCACCTCTGAAATATATAGAGCAAAACATGTTTCCAGGCACGTTTCCAAGATTAATCCATTCGTTTCAGCCGCACCTCGGCTGAATTGGCCAGTGCCATTGCTGCTCGAAGCTTCCCAGTAACTTAACACGCAGTTGATCGTTGTGTGTTGCGACGGTTGACGACACCTTCATGAGGGATGTAAAATGCATTGGTCTGCTTTGCTGCTCTCGCCCATTGGATCGTCTGGCTTTCTTTCGATTTATGTTGCTGCCTGGAATGCGCTTGGAGCCAACCACTGCAATGATTTACCAAGAGCTGCTTTGCCATCGACTTCGGCAAATGGTTGTCTATGGTTGCTGCGCGGATACGGGAACAGCCTTCTAACGAGCCCGATGATTTCAAATGCTGGGACTTTTCATAGCTAACACTGAACCATGCACTGCCGGCCTGTGATATTGGCAGGTTTAATTAATAGCTTCTACCCTGTGTTTCGCAGACTAGCTTCACTGCAAAATGGAAGAAACTCAACAAATGCCGATGGTGCGAACGGATAAGCCAATGTTCCGGAACTTGATAAGCTCGGAAAAGAGTTTCCGACACACAACCAAAACAGCTTCATGCACAAATTCGCGCTGTGCAGTGTCAATCACCCTCCACTGTGGCACCATTTGGGCTCTGGACTGGGCTGGTTTGGTGTGTTTTTAATGGTATTTTAGCATACGTAGAGTATTTTAACTCCATTCCGATGCATGCCCAACCCCTCCTCGGTCCCACTTCGCCCGCCCCCCCGAACCCTCCTCGGCACCATTTGCGCTCTGGACTGGGCTAGTTTTAGTGTGTGTTTCGTGGTATTTTCGCGCAGCATCGTGAAAGGATGCTTAAGGAAGTTGGTGTTAATTTGGTTTTTCAAGCTGCGTGTAGTTGGTGAGAGCTCTTCAGACATGACTGGGACGCCCCACAACATAAATATTCGAGAGGATTCGGAGACAGATCCGTGCAATGTTTGTTGCAGTTGATGTTTCCAGACCTGGCACACTGGGGATGTTCACTGTCAGGGAAAGCGGACATAACTGCTCCCAGCTACGTAGACGATGTCACACAGTACTGGACATGTTGTTGACGCATGCATTGTTGCTTTGCATCCGCCCATTCATCGCCACACATCTACTGCAGCTGTTGTTGCCGATTCGTCTGCAACGTGCACATATATCCAACTCGCTCCTTCTGCACATAACCTTGTACATGCATGCACACATACATAATTACGCACATACTACATTATGCTACATACAGCGGTCAGAAAGGCGTATCGGCATCTCCATCCCCCCCGCCTGTTGACCCGATTCTCCCGCGAACAAAAAACTTTCGTGAAGACCTGGTTCAACCTGGCTTCACAAACTAAAACTCAATACTGCTTCAGGTTTGTTCAAGATGAGGTCATTTCAGCAAAAGGATTCTGAGCCCGTGGGCACAACAACTCTGCTTCTGCAACCTTTGCATACGCCTCCAGCACTGCTGCCTCACGATGCGATCGAAAACTGCGTGTCGACTCCGCCGTCCGTCGAAGTTGGAGCCCGGCCATGATCTAAGGACGTAAGCATGAAGTATTTTCACCTCACTGAAGTACAATGATACGCCAAGAGTGTGCTGCCACGCAAAAACAATCTTGTGCCTGATCCGGAAGCCTCTTGAGCGGAAAGGAACTGACTGGCTGCGCTGCAGCCTAGTAATTGATCAGCATCTGGCCTCTGCAGCCCTCAACAAAACACAGCCACAAGCGTAAGAACTAGCGAATCCTAGACAAGCTCACCTGTCAAAGCCACGGAAATGTGATGATGAATGAAGGTTGAAGCCCAGCAACCTCCAAAGCCCTCCCAGCAGCGAAGTGCATCGGTGCTGGCTCGGCTCAGTCTTTCCCCCGCAGTCACAAGTCTGCCAGATTTTGCGCGAATGGGTTTCTCACACGTGTCCCCTGCACGGCCTGTCGATGCTATGGGGAAGCTCTGCAACCAATCTGTGTGCAGGCTGTCTTTGCAAGTCCAGAACTACCCATCCAGAGGCCTGCCGGGGACGCAGAGCTGAGAAGCCCACTAAAAATGTCATGCCATTCTAATCGTACGCTCTGGCTCTGCTTGACTGACGCGACACGGAGGGTAAGCACTGGAGCCATAAAAAGGGTCAAAAGGTCAAACGTGTGTTCGCATTCCGAAGAGAGCACCCCTTACCGCTGCTTCATCCCAGCACGATCGCACATCCAGCATCGAAACACAGTCTCACATTGAAAGCTGAAAAACGTGGCCTGCACTGACCAGATCTACAAGAGCCTATGCATCCACACTCGGGCGTGAGGTGCGGCCGCTGCGGCTGCTGCTGTTGCCGCTTATACGTGTACCTGTATTAGTACTAGCACGGCTACTGCATCCTGCTACTGCTGCTGCTTCTGCTTCTGCTACTGCTGCTCCTGAACACTGGTACTGCTACTGCCACTGCTACCGCTACTGCTGCGGCTACTGCTACGACGACGACTACTACCACCACTACTGCCATCTGCTGCTATTCGTGTTGTTCTCCGAAGTGAAACTCTCATATTTTTGAGGTCGATTCCAAGATTGAAACTAGAAACACTTTGAGACAGGGGTCTACCACAGCTCTACACATGCGATATCGGCCATCGGACAAGCTCTGGATTCGTCTCAAGGAGATCATGTCGAACTAGTTGCAGGGGTGGGTGGAGTTTGCGGTCACTCAAGATCGGCGAGCGGGTTCCTTGGAGGTTCATCTGTGGTTACACAAGCGGCACTTCTGATGCCTGAGGGCAGGAACAGCCGGTCTTGCAGTTGGGCCTCACCTAAAACGTCGCATGCTCCACCCGCTGATGTTCGACGCTGGAATCATTAGAGCCGTGAAAGCCAGATCGCCCGAAGCCCAAGTTGATGGGGGAAGCTCAAACAGCTTCTCAAGCCAACGCCCTGCGCAATGATATACAAACAACTTCAACAAACCGGAGACTGCTTTACATCTTCAGTCGAATTGCACATTGCCGTCGAATCGTAGCAAAGGCTTTCGTCTACATTTCTTGCCGCTACGCTGCTACGAGTAAGCAGTACCGACGAAAGTCGTGTACAAACCGGGTGTGCGGTTCGGGTCGTGCGACGGCCCGTCCCAGGCCATCAACAACGACAAGCACTGCATGCTTTGGACTGTAAATCCGAAAGTCCGAGGGGGCCTCCTGCTCACGAGTGCGAAGCAAAGAGCCCAAGGCAACCCCAGAAGCCGGAGCTTCCACCATTCCCGTTGAGTCACCTCGCTCAGTGCTGTCTGGCTTGCCTCAGTCCAAGCAAACTTTAGATCTGCGCAGTAAAGGAGCCTGAGAGGCAGGCAACTAGAACGCTGATATGCTGCAGTTGCAGAAGAACGAGTCGTCAGGACAAACAAGGATGAGGTCTTCAGGCAGGTCAGATGCGCAGGAGCATGACATCCTGAAATGCCACAAGGTGTGCACAGTGCTTCGAAGAGGTGTCAGCGTGAAGAATACAGATATACATACAAACATATATACACATAAACATATGTAGATCTAATATGCATACACATATCTATCTATCCATCTATCCATCTATCCATCTATCCATCTATCTGTCTGTCTGTCTGTCTGTCTCTATCTACATATAAATGTATGTTGCACATGATAGCACCATGCTGTGCCTATGAGGGAACACATACCGCAGCAACTGAAGCCAGTTCTTTCGCAGCGCGATGGTAAGTAAGATGGACGGCAAGCGCACTCTGAACGGCTAGGATACTTGATGAGAAGTTGCAGTTCAAACTGCTTAGTCGACAACCCGCAAAAGCTTCTGCGGAAGCCCAAGACCATTATGCCCCAAAGCACCGGCCTGGCATGCTGTAGTGCTGAGTGCATAGCCCACCTGAAAAATGAATCTGGCACCAGGCAGCGATTGGGAACTTTATGTATGTTAGGCATACTGGGAGTTTAAGACTGCAAAGGCGCTCAGAGACCCACTAAAATCTTCGGGTTTTCTTTCGTGAGCTTCTCGCGAACGACCCTTGATCTCCAGACAACCTGACAGCCCGACTTCCTCTTCGCTGAGATCAGTGTTTCATCATTGCGGAGTCAAGGCTGAGGGCTGAATGTCAACCACACATCAATATGGCTATTAGGCTATGCGTCAAAACACAGGGCCTCACTGCGCAAATCTAGATCCAGAGGGACTGCATACAGACTTTAGTCATAAGTTGAAACTTGATGGATGATCATAAAACTGGCGAGGGCCCAGATCTCTAGCTCAAGGATGATTCGTGTATAGCTATGATCCAATGGTCCACGTCCCAAACAGGGGATGCAGGTTACGGGGTATATGCAATGAACTCTATCGGGACGTGTCGTGACTTCAAGGGTTTGTGGTGCACGTTTTGGGAGCTCCGAAGTCCGCGAGTCTGAAATTGACGCTTGGCAACTACGGCCTAATTCACCCGGGACTTAGCAAGTGTTCGAAACATGGGTGCCAGCCTGCCTCTGGGTCTGGCAGCATTGAGCCGACTGCTCGAAGGCAAGCACCAGTTCTCACCTTTGCATGTGGACGCTTCCAGCCTTTCTTGGCCTTCAAGGAAGTTGCACAAACTTGAGAAGATTGAAGGCACAACTCATCGTGAGACCTCAGGCCCTGCAAGTGCATTTAACTAACATCCTGCATGAAGGCAAGCATGATTAACCTTGGCAAATATATTCCTCCTTTCCTACTGAAAGACACTTCTCCCCCCTCCCTGTTGTTGAGACATGACCGGGCTTGAAGTTTAAGCACGACGCGTGCAAGCGTATGAACAGAGGTCGCTAGGCACACGAAGGTTCAAGTCCAATCGCCAGCTACCGAAGGAAACAATTATCACCCGAGACAACAAACAACTAGCCATGGCTTCCGCAAAGGACTTGTAAAGGAGTCTTTGGGGGCAAAATGGCGTTGTGCACGGCGTAAGTGCAACAAACTCAAGTGCGACGAACTGAAGCAAGAAGAGCCCTTCATCAATGGGGAAGAAAGAACTTGTCAAGGAGCAGAAAACTCTTTCAAATCTTCGAAGGAAAGGTAGATTGTGTCGCTCGTGGTGGATATGAAAGTGTGCAAAAGTCTCCATTCTTGCAGACGTAAAAGAGATTTGTGATTGTTTAGTCAAGAGCAGGTGGAGACCCTCTTCTTGCTTCAGCACGAAGGCGGATCAATTGTGTACACTAGCCTGATAATTGCCTTTCTGGGCTTGCGCTCTGCAGGGGTTCTTTGCGGTTGGGCGCAGGCGTTCTTGGGTTTGGGCACTGCAGGGACTCTTTCTGCGGGGATACCCCGTGGGCGAAGAGAACACCCGCCAAACACTCCGTAGCTTCGGCTCGGTGCGAATGGATTTCGCCAAGTACAACCGGACTGCCAGTGTCACAATGCTTGTTCGGCCACAAGTGACGTCTGTCCAGACACTCGCATATGCTTCGCAAACGCAGCAACAAATTGTCGATGTCACTATGAAACACTCGGACCCGAAAAACTTCAAAGGAGACCCCTTCGCATCGCATTCCACATGCTGGGAACCAGCCAGACAGACTCCGCGAACACAGGCGCCTGCCCGATAAACCTCACGTGGTCGATAACCTGACCGCAACGTGCATACGAAAACATGCAGCTTGGCATTGCCGGCATTCCTCAGGCTCGATGCTGCACTCAGTGTCGAGGTAGGCAGCCTCCTCGCCAGTAAATGTGTAGCAATCCCAGCACAGCATAAACCACCGCAGCCCAGCGCACCTTATAGCAGCCTCCCTTACGAAGAAACAAACGAACATACCTCAGCTGTCGCACAAAACTGCAGCAAGAGATGGCATTGCTTAAGCAGCGAAAGGACCCGGCTTGAGTGTGAGGGCATGGCTGGCATAGCGGAAAAAAGTGCCCTGGTGCAGTAAACTCTATTTCGCATGGCATGTGAGTGATCTCTAGCAAATGGCCCGACCTCAAACTCATGCTGGTCTGTTGTTGCAACTGCCATCTTCTGGCCAAGTCTCCTTGCATGCTTGCTGGCACCGCCCGCCCCTTTCGGACATCGCTTAATGAAATGCTCTCACCGAGCCCGCTGCAACAGGAGCTGTTTTGGGAGCGACCATGGGTCCTCGAAGGTTTCAGCCCTGCCAACTCCACTTACGTCGTAGATCACACGCATCACTTCGCACCTGGAGTTGTCTCTGGCTGTCGGCTTCCTCAAGCACAGGATTTCAAACGCCACAAAGAACAAGGTCTGCAAGAACACATTCAGCCACCTCAACTGTCTTTCTGGCGGCCTTTGCTTCCTCCGGCTTCAGACACTCTTCATGCTGGCATGTTCTATGTCATTGTGCTACATGCCGCGGACTTGTCAACGAAAATACCCATTACCCAATTTGAGCATGGGCCACAGCGGACATCTGCACAGCAGTATAAGTTAGCAAAATGCGAACAAGGACTGTCGGACTTGCATTGGACGCCAGCGGTTTTGGCACTCACTTACAAAGGTTGCAACTATGTTCCATGAACCAATTCCGATGCCGATGCTGCAAAATCATCTGAACTCCCTTGACTTCTCTCATATTCGGCCATTTCCGGAAGGTACCGTTGCAAGAAGCTTAGGGGGGCGGGTGCGCAGTTGTGGCACCACGCATGGGCTGGAGATGATGCTGTTGCCTGGCGAAGCATGAATGAAAAAGAAAGAGTCGAGGGATTGAGGGGGCGCAGCCACGATACAAACATACAGAAACCAACTGTCAGTGCGCAATCTTCCGTTTTCTTCCTTCCTCCCTTCATTCCCTTCTTCCTTTCCTCCTTCACCCCGTCCTTCCTTCAATGTATAGATAGATGATAGTTCGAGGGATTTGCAGTTTGTTTACAGCTTTTCAACCCCAAATATGAGGCAATAGCTATTCTCCTGTGTGAATACTTGATTTCTTGTTATCCCTCTTTGACTTGGTGCTTTACCTTCATTTGATTGTTGCTGACCATCTTTTGATTCTTTGATACTTATCCCCTGTTCATAGAAGGTGATATGCACGATGCTGGCGCAATACCGAATGCAGCTGAATACAAAGCATCATCATATTGTCCTTCTCTGTTCGATGTCAGCTTCTTTCGAGCCGTTGTGAAGTAGGAAGAATGCCTGACGCTACATTCGCTACATGCGTCATGCTCGCAGAGTGCACACGATACACGTACACATGAGCCGAACGCGCCTCGATCAGTGGAAGCAGCCTGCAAAGCAGCTCGGGTCGGCTTAACCCCCTCGATCCTGCAAGAGCAGGCAATCTGTGCGACAACTCCAACCTGTTGAGCAACGGCTTCGGCGGAGTTGTCTGGACGTTGGACGCCAAAGATCCACCTGACAGCAGATCTTCGCAAGTCCAGCCGTCCAGAACACCCGCTGCAGCCAACGACCTCCTCATCCCTGGATTGAGATTGAGGCTCATGTTGGAGCTGGTTGTGCGTGGGGATTTGATCTTGATGATGTTCCTTGTCGCTCACCCCACAAAGAGCTATAGAATAGTGGCGTGGTTGCCCTCTACAGACTCGATCACTGTCTCTCTCACTTCCACACGCAAGCCTCACTCCTATGCAGGCAGATCCGGAGCTCGCTTGTTTTGCACCCTCGCGGCCAGCGATGGATCGTCTGTGCACGGGATGGCTCTGTCCCTCGGAAGGTCACAGAAGACTCTGCTATTTCAGCTATGGGCAATGCTTTCTAGAGCTTGTGCTCATTCTTGAGCCATTGTTGCGTAGGCGGTAATACGGAAAGAATGGTTCGGCATTGCGGCGTGCGTAGCACTTCCACAAGCTTACACCTAGAGAAGAAGGACGCGTAGCGTGCCTTCTCTCTTGACCTCTACATGGTCATGCTCACAGCTCTTATCGTGACACCTTAGAACTTGACAAGGCGTCGAAGTCCGTTCGCACCCCCCATGAGTTGCGTCTCCGACGCTGCTCACCCGGAAGATGGCGCGATAGGAACACTAGAAAATTTCCGCCGCAACTTTGACATATGGATCAGAGCCTTGCATCCCAATTAGAAACATTGTGACACTCATCTACGTCGATAACGATCCCCTGAAATGACAAACGAGTCAGGTGTCACCGAAGAAAGAGGCATTCGCAATGGAATCCACGAGCGAAGCGCAGAGGTCACATACTGGAAGATGTAGCAGATCATGTGTGGTCCCGCCACCACCTTCGCGTTGACGCAGGATCGCATTCCCAGGGCCTGAGGTTCTCCTCTGGATTCGGACCCTTTTGCTTTCCCTTGTCCTTGCCTTTGTTTTGGCCTTTACCGGCGATGTAGTCGTGGTAGGAGTTGGTATTCCAGCCTCCATGTTGTCCACTTCCACTTCGTCCACGACCCTTCGATGATGCCCTTGCCGAAGAAGCGCTTGCTCGTTCTTCTGTCGTGACAGGTGTATCCATGATGGAAGTTCTGCCACTAGGCAGGTACTCATCGGCCGAAATATGGTGTAATGCTTCAGGACGTCTCGCATTCGGATGTTGCTGTCTTTCGACCCTGCTTTTAACCAGCTTGTCCACAAGATGTGATGGCATCTGCACGTTGTGGTCCACCAGCAAGTGGACGAAACGGCCGGTGGTCGCAAAGGATGCGACAGAATGGTTCAAAAGCTCTCCTTCATCGCGGTGTTCTAAGTTCGGCATACCGAGTCCTGGTCATGATATCCTTGGGCCATTGGGGTCAAAGCACGTTTATGCTAAAGAGCTTGTAGCAAAGCCTTTTCGTCAGTTCGAACTCATCTTGGAGCAGATCCGAACGGGCGTTTTCGACCCAGGCTGCACAAGGTCTGGCTATTTCGTGAGCTCGGGCAAATTGCCCCCGAAAGAACGAAGTGATGACATGGGAGAGCATGAAGACTCCGAAGAGCCAAGTGGCGATCAAGAAAACTCTCTCTTCGCAGCACGATGTGAAGACATGTGAAGACATCAAAGACAAAAGAAGACCCTGAAGACCTAGTTGAGGCACCTCTTGCTGATCAAGCCGCAGCTCCCGTCGCGGTACAAGACCAAGATGAGTCGGGGTCCAGTCAGAGCGAAGATTCGACCGACATCATGTCGTCTAAGGCGCGAAAGATCGAGGCAAACACTAGGGGACAGCACCACTATGCCCATATAAAATCTGGGGTTGTCCACGTACATTGCCCATGAAGTTCTTAGACCGAGCTCTAGGTCCCGACTTTGAGGATGTGCACGCAGCAAGCCCGCTTTGTCTGAGCGGCCTTTTGAGTCAAGTTTTTGCTCGTCCTCGTAGTTTTTCAATGTTGCCATGACCACCATTCTTGAGAGTGAAGCTTACTTGAAGCAGAGAGCAGACGAGATTGGCATCTCAGAAGGCAGCATCAAAGGCACGGGCAACCTGGACAAGCCATCAATCAAGGTGACTTTAAGCACTATGAACCGCATGAGCTTAGACCCACCCTCGAGGTATGGCAGGACTTCCGTTGGACAGGTTTTCAGAGTGGATGAAGAAGCTTGTCAAAGCCATGAAAGAGGTCAGCTTCTCACACACAGCCGCAGGAGGTCTTCCTCTCGATTCCTTCTTCAAAGACGCGCCTTTCATCTTCTCCCATAACCCTTGAAGGGAAAAGGTGAAGGTAAAAGGACGATAAAGGAGGTGGCAAGGACGGGAGCAAGTGGCGTTCCACCCCGTACTTTGACAACACGGACCTGAAGGGAAAGGGCCCGGAAAGACAGGAGGAAAGGTGGTGGAAAAGGCTGGCGCATGCCTCGAGCATTGATTGGTGACGGGTCCCCAGTGGATGCAGACCACAACCCCACTGCAACAAACCCTACACGTACTCAAAACACCCAAAGAAGCCTCCGGTCACAACCATGATCTTGGAACTGGGATATCAAACTGTGGAGAGGGCCACCACTGGTAATCACGGTCGCCGCTTTGGGCACCCTTACGTGATTTGAGGGACTCAAAAACAAGCCACAATTCTGGAACTGACCATGTAAACGTAGACGTTGAACTACGACGGCTCTATCTGTTGCAGCTACTCCAGGTCAGTCAGTTGATGCTCAATGAGTTGTGTGACGTGACTTCCCGCGTCATCTCTAGCCCAAGCTAACCCAAACTGGTGCTTTGCCTTTTTCACTTAAAAAGTAGGGATGGATCTGGGCCCTCTGCTCCATTGGCCCTCCTGAGATCCTCCGTTCTGCAACCGAGACTCATCTAGACCTAGACATAACACTTGCCGAAACACGAATCCAAACCGCACCCGGAAGATCCCTGAAGCTTCTGCCGCTCTGAGACCTTCTGGGAACAGCTCGTCGGCAACGTCCTTGACTCCTGCACACATATTTGTACACATTCACTCATGAGTGAGGCACGAGTTAGCACATGTTGTCAAGCCTGCGTCTCACCAACGCAGTAGCCTTCTGCTCTCATGGCGGCATAAATCGCCTACAAATGGGACGTTTGACCATGCAAAGTGGCCAGCCAAAACAGTTGCACCTCGAGGGTGCTGTTGAAAGTCATCTTTGCTGCTCTTGACCGTCCACGCTCCTGCATGCGGCAAAGTAAATGTCCAATCGGCATCACGCCGGCCAAGTGGACTTTGCAGACTTGCCTCCGCTGCGATCACCTGATTTCAACAGCTTGAGCCCGTAAGTTTCAAATCAACTTGCTCAACACAGGATATCAGCTGGGAGATTCTGCACATGGGCTTGTGTCGGCGCGCTACAAGAAGCGCCTTCTTGGGGGTCTCATCGGACTCACTGTCCTCGCTGTTTCGATCGGATGACCCCACATGCTCGCTACCTCCCACAATGTCTGTTCGAGGTTTGCTCTCTGCACCTCGCTGGTGCCGTTGTCAGTCATCCTGGTCACCGACCGACAGCGCGGCCCCTGGCAGGAACTGAATGAACGCCATCTAGATTCAGACGAAAGAATCTGCCTCGATTGAGCGCCTGATCACACTATGCTCCCTTGGGGCCTTCCTTTCCGACCTCTCGCATCGCGGTGGCTTGTCATAGTGTTCGCCGGCCCCGACGGTGGAGGAGAGTATCTGACACAACGGGAATAGCGGTTGCGCGCTGAGGTTCCAGAATTAGCCAGGCAAGACCGCCCTCCCACAATCCGTCAGCACACTCCCTGCCCAACTGCACAAGCAAAGGGCGGGCGCAAGGGGGGTGGGGTTGAACAGAAGCCTGAACTGTGAACAATTCGTTTGAAACTGCGGAGAAGCGCTGGTGATGCCGGGGACGTGTTGCGAAATCTTGTGAACATTGCAGGAGATGAAGAGGAGGAGAGGAAGAGGAGCGGAAGAGGCGAGGCAGAGGAGAGGAAGAGGTTCAGGGTTTAGGGTTTTAGGGTTTTTCGGCTCATGGAGATTAGGGGGCTGGCCTTCAATCGAAGTGTCCCGAAACTCATCACATTGAAAGCTCCTGGGACCTGAAGCTTCCGGAGACATCCGGAGACATCAGGAGACATGGGACACAACTGGCGATACCAAGCTTTCTTCCGGCCTCTGCCAAGTTGTCATTGACTTGGCTCAACCTGACCATTTGACAAGTACATGCTGCTGCATGCTCGTATTCCACAGTTGCTTTGTCAATAAGGGCCAAGCAAGGATTCACCACCCCGCGCTGTCGCACGTTTCGCAACCAGGGCTGCTGTCTCCATGTTGACAACATCTATCCTCTGCCCATCGCCAGAATCGACAGAATCGACTATGTTTGGATCGGCGTCGCTGCAGAAACAGGGATCTGTGCCCCTTGCTGGGCATGCGCCAAAGTGGCTCCAGGGAGCAGGGTCACCTGCTCTGACTTCATGGGCGCTTGATCGCAGTCTGGAGGCAGCTGGGCACCGAACATGCACAGCCTCTAGTGGCATTTGCACCTGCGATGCAGAGAAACCAATCCGCGAGACTCTGCAAGTAGCTCTGAACGGGCCTGTGTTGCCAAACCTCGCCGAATAGCTCTGATGACATAACTATGCATCTGCAAAGAGGACATGGCCGTGTCGTAATCCATCCTGCAGCAGGAATATATTGATGCCGCGGCTGTGTGATGCCACCGTCTGAAGGGAACCGGCGCCTGATTGGCAACGATCTAGGCCTAAATCCGAAACGTCTTGCTATGTTCGCTTGTGCGTCGGGTGATCTCAGATTCGGACATGAAATCAAGGGCCGTTGTCGGCACCTGCGCAAACTTGTATCACAGCGGGTCTTCGTGGATGGTTGTCCATGGCGCACTGCATGGCCTTGACCTCTGACTTCGCCACAAACATGCTGGGACCTCTGCAAGACTATCGAAAGATGCCTGCTAGTGTGCCTTCGAACATGTACGCCGCAGATTTCTGCATGTGTGCTTGCCTCCGAATCGCCGCGACCTGACATCAATGGAAAAAACTCTCAACATCAAAGGCTGGGCTCCCCTCTTCTTCAGGCTTTCATGTGAGTTTCATGTGAGAGTTTCAGTGATTGCGGGCCAGTGGCCGAAAGCAGGAAAACATCCAAGGCTCTGCGGCATCCAACGCTTCCTTCCAGCTTGCTACCTCGCTTGCGGATTGGAAGCTTACAGAACTGAAATCAAGGAGTGCCTTGATCAATGGTGGACTTGAACCCTTACAGGCAGCCTTCTCAACTTCTCAACCACATGGGCGGACACATGGCGGTACAGACCACCAAGGCTTTTATCTACCTCTGTAGCGCTTCCCTTCGCCCGGTGGAGCCACCTAAGGCCGCTCACTGTCTCTACGAGTTGTGGGAAATGTGGTTTCCACATTTTCTCCGGAGGAGCACGGAAACACGTGTCCAAAAACGGAAGGGCCCCCAAAGTGGACAGGTGCATGCCTTAGCATGATTTGTTTGAGATCTCTTGCCCTCAACTACAACACCAAAAGGTTTTCATGCTAGAACTGAATTTACAAGTTTGTCTTCGCTGGGGAAGGGTGATCGTGCAGCTTCGGCAGCTTCGGCAAACCCTGAACACGTTATATAGGGTTTGCGTGGCTCTCTGGGTTGCAAAGAGAAGCCGCTGGCCTCCGCATCCAATTGGCTGGGCTGGCTTCTTTCATCCGGCAGCCTTGCATATATGAGAGTTGATGGCACAACATGAGAAATGCACTTTGCACGTCGTGGCAGACAAGTGGCTGGAACAAGCTGTACATCCACGGCTCCAGGGGATCTTCATTGATGAGGCTCGCCGCCTTTGTCCAGGAACTTCCGAGCAGCGGCTAGGCAAACCAAACCAAACTGTCAAAATCATAACTGGGCCTGGGCCTGGACTTTTGGCTCAACCTGGCTTCCAGTCATCGACCTTGGGCACCACAGCTCGCTACGTGAGCAATGCTAGGAACTCTCCTACTTGCATACGCAAGGCTGCAGGAGCTGCATCCGTGGTTCGGCGTACATGGCTCCCTTGTATGTCAGTTGTCTGAATGCACAGGAGCTGCAAGCTGTGGAAGCTGAGGTGTTTCTCAACAACTATTGAATGCACTTAACTGCAACCCAGGAAAGGAGATGGTGGAAACTTATCAGCCTGTCATGTTTGGGATGCAGCTGTCATGGAACAAAAGCTGCAGCACGAGAGAAGTGAGTCTACGATCAAGCACATGAAGAATCAAAAAGAGATCAGCGGGAGATGTCACCCCAAGATTGAATCCTGTCCGGGCTTGTTTACAATCCTCAGGAAATCGCGGTCAAGCTGGTTAATACCATACTGTTTGCACGCCGACGTGAGGTCGAAAGTTCCACCGAGGCAAGCAGGCATATATCCCTGAATGCAAGCGAGTGCCCCAGACATCCTGATGTCCTGCAACTGGCCCTGCAATGCTAAGACCGTGGAGCAGCAAACGATTCCAGGCGATTTTGCACAAACACAGCTGTATGGAATCGATGGTCCCAAGCAGTCCATCTTGGCAAGATGACCGCGTGGATGGGATTTTGCCGACTATGGAAGTGTGACACTGGAAACTGGTTCCTCAGGAGGGGCATCGTAGTGACGGAAATCGATTTCAACATCTCCACCACGCATTTGCAGGCTCTGTGGTGACTTTCCAGCTGGTGATCAAGGGGAGGGCCTTGGAAAAGCTTTGCTCCAAGTCCATGAGCGGGGGCGGGGCCATGACCGTTGTTCCTGCAACCACGCCCAGCTGGACCTCTTCCGCACCGATCGGACCGCTGTTAGTTTGAACCTGGGACTGCAGGCCGCTTGGCAAATTGGGCCACTAGGGACAGGCTTGGCCAAGCGGCTTGGCCATCGTAAGGGTCCCTTAAAGCAAAGCTTACTCAACGAATGACGAGACTCAGTCGTCATCAGGGTGTTTCCCAACTTCAACGAAAGCCGAAAGAGTGGCGTGCCTGGCTTTTCTGTCAAAGTCAAAAACAAGCCACAATTCTGGAACTGACCATGTAAACGTAGACGTTGAACTACGACGGCTCTATCTGTTGCAGCTACTCCAGGTCAGTCAGTTGATGCTCAATGAGTTGTGTGACGTGACTTCCCGCGTCATCTCTAGCCAAGCTAACCCAAACTGGTGCTTTGCCTTTTTCACTTAAAAAGTAGGGATGGATCTGGGCCCTCTGCTCCATTGGCCCTCCTGAGATCCTCCGTTCTGCAACCGAGACTCATCTAGACCTAGACATAACACTTGCCGAAACACGAATCCAAACCGCACCCGGAAGATCCCTGAAGCTTCTGCCGCTCTGAGACCTTCTGGGAACAGCTCGTCGGCAACGTCCTTGACTCCTGCACACATAATATTTGTACACATTCACTCATGAGTGAGGCACGAGTTAGCACATGTTGTCAAGCCTGCGTCTCACCAACGCAGTAGCCTTCTGCTCTCATGGCGGCATAAATCGCCTACAAATGGGACGTTTGACCATGCAAAGTGGCCAGCCAAAACAGTTGCACCTCGAGGGTGCTGTTGAAAGTCATCTTTGCTGCTCTTGACCGTCCACGCTCCTGCATGCGGCAAAGTAAATGTCCAATCGGCATCACGCCGGTCAAGTGGACTTTGCAGACTTGCCTCCGCTGCGATCACCTGATTTCAACAGCTTGAGCCCGTAAGTTTCAAATCAACTTGCTCAACACGGGATATCAGCTGGGAGATTCTACACATGGGCTTGTGTCGGCGCGCTACAAGAAGCGCCTTCTTGGGGGTCTCATCGGACTCACTGTCCTCGCTGTTTCGATCGGATGACCCCACATGCTCGCTACCTCCCACAATGTCTGTTCGAGGTTTGCTCTCTGCACCTCGCTGGTGCCGTTGTCAGTCATCCTGGTCACCGACCGACAGCGCGGCCCCTGGCAGGAACTGAATGAACGCCATCTAGATTCAGACGAAAGAATCTGCCTCGATTGAGTGCCTGATCACACTATGCTCCCTTGGGGCCTTCCTTTCCGACCTCTCGCATCGCGGTGGCTTGTCATAGTGTTCGCCGGCCCCGACGGTGGAGGAGAGTATCTGACACAACGGGAATAGCGCTTGCGCGCTGAGGTTCCAGAATTAGCCAGGCAAGACCGCCCTCCCACAATCCGTCAGCACACTCCCTGCCCAACTGCACAAAGGGCGGGCGCAAGGGGGGGGGGGGGTTGAACAGAAGCCTGAACTGTGAACAGTTCGTTTGAAACTGCGGAGAAGCGCTGGTGATGCCGGGGACGTGTTGCGAAATTTTGTGAACATTGCAGGAGATGAAGAGGAGGAGAGGAAGAGGAGCGGAAGAGGCGAGGCAGAGGAGAGGAAGAGGTTCAGGGTTTAGGGTTTTAGGGTTTTTCGGCTCATGGAGATTAGGGGGCTGGCCTTCAATCGAAGTGTCCCGAAACTCATCACATTGAAAGCTCCTGGGACCTGAAGCTTCCGGAGACATCCGGAGACATCAGGAGACATGGGACACAACTGGCGATACCAAGCTTTCTTCCGGCCTCTGCCAAGTTGTCATTGACTTGGCTCAACCTGACCATTTGACAAGTACATGCTGCTGCATGCTCGTATTCCACAGTTGCTTTGTCAATAAGGGCCAAGCAAGGATTCACCACCCCGCGCTGTCGCACGTTTCGCAACCAGGGCTGCTGTCTCCATGTTGACAACATCTATCCTCTGCCCATCGCCAGAATCGACTATGTTTGGATCGGCGTCGCTGCAGAAAAAGGGATCTGTGCCCCTTGCTGGGCATGCGCCAAAGTGGCTCCAGGGAGCAGGGTCACCTGCTCTGACTTCATGGGCGCTTGATCGCAGTCTGGAGGCAGCTGGGCACCGAACATGCACAGCCTCTAGTGGCACTTGCACCTGCGATGCAGAGAAACCAATCCGCGAGACTCTGCAAGTAGCTCTGAACGGGCCTGTGTTGCCAAACCTCGCCGAATAGCTCTGATGACATAACTATGCATCTGCAAAGAGGACATGGCCGTGTCGTAATCCATCCTGCAGCAGCAGGAATATATTGATGCCGCGGCTGTGTGATGCCACCGTCTGAAGGGAACCGGCGCCTGATTGGCAACGATCTAGGCCTAAATCCGAAACGTCTTACTATGTTCGCTTGTGCGTCGGGTGATCTCAGATTCGGACATGAAATCAAGGGCCGTTGTCGGCACCTGCGCAAACTTGTATCACAGCGGGTCTTCGTGGATGGTTGTCCATGGCGCACTGCATGGCCTTGACCTCTGACTTCGCCACAAACATGCTGGGACCTCTGCAAGACTATCGAAAGATGCCTGCTAGTGTGCCTTCGAACATGTACGCCGCAGATTTCTGCATGTGTGCTTGCCTCCGAATCGCCGCGACCTGACATCAATGGAAAAAACTCTCAACATCAAAGGCTGGGCTCCCCTCTTCTTCAGGCTTTCATGTGAGTTTCATGTGAGAGTTTCAGTGATTGCGGGCCAGTGGCCGAAAGCAGGAAAACATCCAAGGCTCTGCGGCATCCAACGCTTCCTTCCAGCTTGCTACCTCGCTTGCGGATTGGAAGCTTACAGAACTGAAATCAAGGAGTGCCTTGATCAATGGTGGACTTGAACCCTTACAGGCAGCCTTCTCAACTTCTCAACCACATGGGCGGACACATGGCGGTACAGACCACCAAGGCTTTTATCTACCTCTGTAGCGCTTCCCTTCGCCCGGTGGAGCCACCTAAGGCCGCTCACTGTCTCTACGAGTTGTGGGAAATGTGGTTTCCACATTTTCTCCGGAGGAGCACGGAAACACGTGTCCAAAAACGGAAGGGCCCCCAAAGTGGACAGGTGCATGCCTTAGCATGATTTGTTTGAGATCTCTTGCCCTCAACTACAACACCAAAAGGTTTTCATGCTAGAACTGAATTTACAAGTTTGTCTTCGCTGGGGAAGGGTGATCGTGCAGCTTCGGCAGCTTCGGCAAACCCTGAACACGTTATATAGGGTTTGCGTGGCTCTCTGGGTTGCAAAGAGAAGCCGCTGGCCTCCGCATCCAATTGGCTGGGCTGGCTTCTTTCATCCGGCAGCCTTGCATAATTATATGAGAGTTGATAGCACAACATGAGCAATGCACCTTGCACGTCGTGGCAGACAAGTGGCTGGAACAAGCTGTACATCCACGGCTCCAGGGGATCTTCATTGATGAGGCTCGCCGCCTTTGTCCAGGAACTTCCGAGCAGCGGCTAGGCAAACCAAACCAAACTGTCAAAATCATAACTGGGCCTGGGCCTGGACTTTTGGCTCAACCTGGCTTCCAGTCATCGACCTTGGGCACCACAGCTCGCTACGCGAGCAATGCTAGGAACTCTCCTACTTGCATACGCAAGGCTGCAGGAGCTGCATCCGTGGTTCGGCGTACATGGCTCCCTTGTATGTCAGTTGTCTGAATGCACAGGAGCTGCAAGCTGTGGAAGCTGAGGTGTTTCTCAACAACTATTGAATGCACTTAACTGCAACCCAGGAAAGGAGATGGTGGAAACTTATCAGCCTGTCATGTTTGGGATGCAGCTGTCATGGAACAAAAGCTGCAGCACGAGAGAAGTGAGTCTACGATCAAGCACATGAAGAATCAAAAAGAGATCAGCGGGAGATGTCACCCCAAGATTGAATCCTGTCCGGGCTTGTTTACAATCCTCAGGAAATCGCGGTCAAACTGGTTAATACCATACTGTTTGCACGCCGACGTGAGGTCGAAAGTTCCACCGAGGCAAGCAGGCATATATCCCTGAATGCAGGCGAGTGCCCCAGACATCCTGATGTCCCGCAACTGGCCCTGCAATGCTAAGACCGTGGAGCTGCAAACGATTCCAGGCGATTTTGCACAAACACAGCTGTATGGAATCGATGGTCCCAAGCAGTCCATCTTGGCAAGATGACCGCGTGGATGGGATTTTGCCGACTATGGAAGTGTGACACTGGAAACTGGTTCCTCAGGAGGGGCATCGTAGTGACGGAAATCGATTTCAACATCTCTACCACGCATTTGCAGGCTGTCTGTGGTGACTTTCCAGCTGGTGATCAAGGGGAGGGCCTTGGAAAAGCTTTGCTCCAAGTCCATGAGCGGGGGCGGGGCCATGACCGTTGTTCCTGCAACCACGCCCAGCTGGACCTCTTCCGCACCGATCGGACCGCTGTTAGTTTGAACCTGGGACTGCAGGCCGCTTGGCAAATTGGGCCACTAGGGACAGGCTTGGCCAAGCGGCTTGGCCATCGTAAGGGTCCCTTAAAGCAAAGCTTACTCAACGAATGACGAGACTCAGTCGTCATCAGGGTGTTTCCCAACTTCAACGAAAGCCGAAAGAGTGGCGTGCCTGGCTTTTCTGTCAAAGTCATCATGATGTTGCCCATAAAGTCATGATGATGTTGCCCATTCCAGGTGGTGCTTCGGCATCCACTAGCATTGTCGTGGTGAAGGCCGATTCCTCAGCTGCCGAATTGCCGAGACATTTGACGCACAAAGCAAGGTGCTGATGAGCGAACACATGCGAGAACAAGCAACCTCACCTGAATCTTTTCGCTCTGCCGTGAACTCGATCCGCATCGTGAAACTGCAAGCACAGCTGTGCGCAGAAGGCTTGCAAGCCTCAAGCTGCATATCAGCATGATTAATTACTGCCTGGTTGCAGGCATCACTTCCCAACGCCAGATCACAATCAGTCACGGCACGGGCAACGCATCGATTGTCGCTTCTGCTTAGCGGTCGGCACGTCCTTTACCGCGTCCCAAATCTCTTCGAAAATTAGCGTGTGCTGGATGACGACATTCATCGTGGCGTCATTCTTGGCACGCTGCAGTCTCTTTGTTGCCTCTTTTGCGCTCAACCCAGCCACGCAGCAGTCTCTGATCACCGTGGTCTTCAAGCTGGGCAGAGCAACCGTGAGTTGACACAGGGCGGCATCCCAATGCAGGTACTTTTCAATCGAAGAGACGGAAAAGAACTTCCTTACCAGTACCACCGCTGCCGCAACAAACAGACCCCCACACACACACACACACACACACACACACACACACACACACACACACACACACACACACACACACACACACACACACACACACACACACACACACACACACACACACACACACACACACACACACACACACACATACACACGTCACACATCGTCACACGCACACAGATATTGCTGCAAACAATCTTAGCACTGCAAACCATTGTTCTACCAACGACTCCTTGGCATTTGCGACGGGAGACTGAAGAATCTGAACCAAGAAATGGAACGCGCTGCCGCTGCTCGCCATAGAGTCTACGAGTCTCGGGCCCGGCATCTGATCTACACCTCCAGAGCACTTGATCCTATTAGTGCTTGTCGGGCAAACACGTCCAACTACCTGATTCTGAAGTTGAGCACGCGAGCGTTGCAGCTTAGGTATCTGCTGTTCGTGGCGCACGCCGGCGCTCCCACCTGGCATAAACTAAACACGAAAATGATCTTCGGAAGCTTCCGAGCCCCAAGTGCAAACATCCGGCCTGCAAACCAGGGACGCGTTCGATGCTAGTGAGGTCCTGCCGATGTTCAATCCGTCTGTGTCTAACGGGGGCCTAGGTGCACTTAAGAGTGACAACACGGGAGTGGCCTGCGTCTCCTCGAGGCTGAACAGCACTCCTAGCGGTTGCATGACCTGAAATAGCTGGCATGGGCATGTCGAACTGCATACCTAAGCCACGTTGGGCGGGCTGGGTGGCCTCATTGATCTTCTGCAAGCGAAGCAGGACTTCATCCTCGCTGATCTGAAAAGTGAGGAAGGCCTCCATCAACTCCTCACCCAGCTCAATATATTCGACTATGGGCCACTTCTACATCACAGTTCTGTATTCTTTACCACGATTGTCCGGCTTACCACGCCCCACACCCCAGAATACAAAGGCAACAAGAACGTAGCTATTACTAGCGTGACCCAGGTCGGTCGAACGCTGAATAAAAAAAGATCACATCCACCAACAAAATTTAGCAAAGCGTGTCTGCCACAATTATGCCATAATGATGCGGGTTGCCATGCCCCGCCACTTCCCCGTCTCCGTAGTGATTCAAGCCTTTCCGGCTCCTTTTCGGCAATGACTTGGCTCCATGATCCATGTAGTGCTTCAGCGCATCTCTGTAGCGACTCTGCCCTCTCGCATAATTGGACGACTTCTTTACTGGTGTGGTTTTGTGCCTCTCCTCACCAGAGCGATTCATAGACAGTATACGACTACTGTGAAGTTGTCTGCCGCTTCGTCTGTCGAGGACGCATAACGGAAGGGCAATAACGGAGGGGCGAGGAATTCCAATCTCACCTTGCCGCTCACACTCCCCGAGACTTACCGATTCAATCTGATCCCGCTTGTCAAGGGCCAGTCGAGGTGTTGCTCAATTGGCAACATTCCTAGGGAAGATCCCGGCTCTCCGTAACTTGCGTGCGGGACCCGGACGCGACAGCCTGTGTACCGCTGGAACAGATCCTGGCCCCGAGCCCCAAGTGCAAACATCCGGCCTGCAAACCAGGGACGCGTTCGATGCTAGTGAGGTCCTGCCGATGTTCAATCCGTCTGTGTCTAACGGGGGCCTAGGTGCACTTAAGAGTGACAACACGGGAGTGGCCTGCGTCTCCTCGAGGCTGAACAGCACTCCTAGCGGTTGCATGACCTGAAATAGCTGGCATGGGCATGTCGAACTGCATACCTAAGCCACGTTGGGCGGGCTGGGTGGCCTCATTGATCTTCTGCAAGCGAAGCAGGACTTCATCCTCGCTGATCTGAAAAGTGAGGAAGGCCTCCATCAACTCCTCACCCAGCTCAATATATTCGACTACGGGCCACTTCTACATCACAGTTCTGTATTCTTTACCACGATTGTCCGGCTTACCACGCCCCACACCCCAGAATACAAAGGCAACAAGAACGTAGCTATTACTAGCGTGACCCAGGTCGGTCGAACGCTGAATAAAAAAAGATCACATCCCACCAACAAAATTTAGCAAAGCGTGTCTGCCACAATTACGCCATAATGATGCGGGTTGCCATGCCCCGCCACTTCCCCGTCTCCGTAGTGATTCAAGCCTTTCCGGCTCCTTTTCGGCAATGACTTGGCTCCATGATCCATGTAGTGCTTCAGCGCATCTCTGTAGCGACTCTGCCCTCTCGCATAATTGGACGACTTCTTTACTGGTGTGGTTTTGTGCCTCTCCTCACCAGAGCGATTCATAGACAGTATACGACTACTGTGAAGTTGTCTGCCGCTTCGTCTGTCGAGGACGCATAACGGAAGGGCAATAACGGAGGGGCGAGGAATTCCAATCTCACCTTGCCGCTCACACTCCCCGAGACTTACCGATTCAATCTGATCCCGCTTGTCAAGGGCCAGTCGAGGTGTTGCTAAATTGGCAACATTCCTAGGGAAGATCCCGGCTCTCCGTAACTTGCGTGCGGGACCCGGACGCGACAGCCCGTGTACCGCTGGAACAGATCCTGGCCCCGAGCCCCAAGTGCAAGCATCCGGCCTGCAAACCAGGGACGCGTTCGATGCTAGTGAGGTCCTGCCGATGTTCAATCCGTCTGTGTCTAACGGGGGCCTAGGTGCACTTAAGAATGACAACACGGGAGTGGCCTGCGTCTCCTCGAGGGTGAACAGCACTCCTAGCGGTTGCATGACCTGAAATAGCTGGCATGGGCATGTCGAACTGCATACCTAAGCCACGTTGGGCGGGCTGGGTGGCCTCATTGATCTTCTGCAAGCGAAGCAGGACTTCATCCTCGCTGATCTGAAAAGTGAGGAAGGCCTCCGTCAACTCCTCACCCAGCTCAATATATTCGACTATGGGCCACTTCTACATCACAGTTCTGTATTCTTTACCACGATTGTCCGGCTTACCACGCCCCACACCCCAGAATACAAAGGCAACAAGAACGTAGCTATTACTAGCGTGACCCAGGTCGGTCGAACGCTGAATAAAAAAAGATCACATCCCACCAACAAAATTTAGCAAAGCGTGTCTGCCACAATTACGCCATAATGATGCGGGTTGCCATGCCCCGCCACTTCCCCGTCTCCGTAGTGATTCAAGCCTTTCCGGCTCCTTTTCGGCAATGACTTGGCTCCATGATCCATGTAGTGCTTCAGCGCATCTCTGTAGCGACTCTGCCCTCTCGCATAATTGGACGACTTCTTTACTGGTGTGGTTTTGTGCCTCTCCTCACCAGAGCGATTCATAGACAGTATACGACTACTGTGAAGTTGTCTGCCGCTTCGTCTGTCGAGGACGCATAACGGAAGGGCAATAACGGAGGGGCGAGGAATTCCAATCTCACCTTGCCGCTCACACTCCCCGAGACTTACCGATTCAATCTGATCCCGCTTGTCAAGGGCCAGTCGAGGTGTTTCTCAATTGGCAACATTCCTAGGGAAGATCCCGGCTCTCCGTAACTTGCGTGCGGGACCCGGACGCGACAGCCCGTGTACCGCTGGAACAGATCCTGGCCCCGAGCCCCAAGTGCAAGCATCCGGCCTGCAAACCAGGGACGCGTTCGATGCTAGTGAGGTCCTGCCGATGTTCAATCCGTCTGTATCTAACGGGGGCCTAGGTGCACTTAAGAGCGACAACACGGGAGTGGCCTGCGTCTCCTCGAGGGTGAACACCACTCCTAGCGGTTGCATGACCTGAAATAGCTGGCATGGGCATGTCGAACTGCATACCTAAGCCACACCACGTTGGGCGGGCTGGGTGGCCTCATTGATCTTCTGCAAGTGAAGCAGGACTTCATCCTCGCTGATCTGAAAAGTGAGGAAGGCCTCCGTCAACTCCTCACACACAGTATTTCGTGCATCAGAACTGCCTGGCTGCGGATGCATGTCCGACCCTTCCCTTCGGCTCAAACGCTCTTATCTGTTGTGACTTCGGGGTCAAAATGTGAGTGATGTGTAGCCGGACAGTCTGGACCAGGCTCATGATGCCTTTGTCCTCTCGCATTGAGAAACGATGACCAGTGGCGAGGTTGATTTGGTACAACTACTTCAAATTGTTGATGCTCTTGTGGGGCCGTGGCGTTCCTGTCACGCAGGGGTGGAATAAGCGCTGCTCGCCCAGCGGCACACACGGAATAGATCCCAGCAACAAGCTCCACATTTCACGTGTTTTCACAGTGTACAGTGGCGTTTGCGTGTGGGACGGCGCCCAGCAGTGATGTAGTTTATTCAGATTTAAGTCTGCTCTTATGCTCCAGTAGCGCCCGAGAAGCTCGAAGTAGGAAAGACTGTAGCGCCTATCCGCGGCAGCTGCGCTGCATCTTGCCAGGGAAACCACCGGAGCCAGAGTGGCCGATCACATGCCCGTGGAGGGACCGAGGGGGAGGGTGGCAGGCGATTAGCCAACCCCGGTGATAGTGGCCTTAAGGCGATGGCACCGAACCGTGCAGCCTTTTGCAAGTTTGTGACAAAAGAACAGCAAACCTGAATGTGGCGGGCCTCGATTAGCAGATGGCAGCTTGCACGCCCAGCCTCGATGAGATCTGTCGGCGTGCTCCCACTTGAGAAACCTGCAGAGGAAGCCTGAGTGAAGCACTTAGACGTAGATCGCAATCGTGAAGCAATGTAGGAACTCTGACGGCTCTAAGCACTCGCCCTGTACGACTACGCATCGGAACTCACAACAGACTGTCTTGTTGTGATTTGCTTGACTTCGCGATTGTTTCTTCCATGGTTCATGACGCAATGACCATCCTAGCAGTCCTGTGGTGAAACCACAGGGCTGCGCACCTTGCACCAACCAAAGCACATCTGCTGAAGCCTGAGCTCAGTCCGACGTCAAGCGTCACTCTGCTGCAAACCCGCGGCTGCTCTGTTACATGCCACAGTCAGGATCCAAGCAAGCTCTGCGACACTTTAAAGCGAGCAAATGCGAACGCAGCTGGGGTTCGGACCATCTTGTGACACGGAAATCCTGCGGCGGTGTCAAATTGCGGAACTCACGCGGAGTTGCATAGAAAGGTCTGGAGGTCTGAGGGCCCGACGGGAGCGGAAACAGTCCGAAGAGGCCGTCAGGACCACCCAGAATCCGAGCCAGCTTTGCATGATGAATGATGGACTTCTGGTATACATGAAGTGATCTCGTTTTAGCGCGTTGGCCACGGGCCCCAGCAACCTTGGCCCCAGCGTAAAACAGAACCATTCCAATACTAAACCGCAGCTCTATGCCCTAAATGCAATCGCTCACTTTTCAGCGCCCACCTGGCCGTTGCTTCGCTCAACCAACAACTTGCAACACACCAGTCGGAAGTCTGTGCCACTAAATACAGAATGGTCATCCCATCTGCATGGCAAGAGCTGGCGTGGGAAGGGCTGTTTGGAGGGCCTTGTATGCAGAGTTTTCTCCACCACCACACGTGTGTCAGCCCCGAGGCGCCACACATAGTATCACATAGTCTGCAATGTCAATGTGCCCGGAGCTGCCTGTGGTAAAGATGATGGTACGTGGACGGCGTTGCTGGACGTGAACGTCATCAGTTTCCACCTCCCAACCCCGTCGTTGCACAAAGTCCTGTATGCAGGCCACGGTCTGTCTCGTATCGTCCAGCTCTTGCACTGGACGGTTTTTCGCCAGAACGTGTGGATTATCCACAAAAGCTCGTGCCAGCTGAAAGCGCCACTGCTCGCTGGAGCTGAGCCTGTCTAGAACTCTCCGTTTCCTGCTCCTCGTCGGGCTTCTCTGCTTCGGCAAAACATGAATCGGTGCCTTCTGTTGATGTGGGATTTGCTTCGGCAGCTTCTTTCAATGTAGCTTCTGAATCATATAGCTCCTGGCAAAACGGTAGTGACTGAACGCCAAGGACGCAACTGTTGCTCCTAAGCTCTCATGGACGCATGCCACATGTCCACAGAGTGCGCGAAAACCTTTCAGGGGTCCTTGATCCAAGGCTTTTCTTGTCATATCCAGCTTCAGCCGGCGATCTAGGCCCGAACCCCATCCAGGCTGCAATTTGCAATCTCGACTTTGTGGAGAGGCGCTTCCTCCAACTGAGCTCGCGGCGCTGTCATGGGGATCCGGAGGAAATTGAGGAGGCCAGAGAGGCTCCGGAGATTGGGGTGCGACCTGCGCAGCAACCTGCCAGCCCAGCTCCACAACACCGCACACTATGGACGTCCTCCAATGTACAGAACACGCCTCTGATGCTCAGTGTAACAAATGATTCTGAATATAGAAGCTATAGTAGAAGTTATACATACAGCACATGTGCTGTAATTACAGTCTACAGCAGCTTCGGAACATTTTGTACACTTGTGGATGCCCTGAATGCCTGTAAAGTACTGTAGCGGTGACATCGTGGCTCAGCTACAGTCGGCCTCGCGCTTTGGTCTCTTCGTAGCGCTGTGGGAACCAAAGGAAGCCGCGCCAAAATCGCCAGGGCAAGTTCACGCGGCGGAGGCGCATTTCCGGCGAAGCCGGAGAGAGTCTTCCAGAAGCCTGGCAGTACGGCACCCCGAGAATGGATTGCTGGGGCCCTGGGGCGCTGAAGCGCCTCCGGCAGCCCTGTCTCCAGATCCGGGCTGGAATCCTTCGGACATGGCTCGGTGCGGTACACAACTGTTGCCAGAATTGCATGCGCCTCGTCAACGGCCAGCGAGTGGCGGAGGCGCAACGGGATGTGCAGGAGCGACTGGAAGGCCTACGGCTTTCACTGTTGGCCGCAGGCTTTCGCCAGCCTGTTGCGCCTGTGGCGCGAGGCCCGGCGGATCCTCCCCGACCTGGCTACGCAAACAATGAGAACCCTGCAACTTCCCGAAGGCATGAAAGCCTCTCTTGGGGCGCAGCTGAGGAAGCCTCGGACCTATTCGAGTCGAGGCCCTCCTCGCAGCACGCCGACGCCGCCTCTACGATATTCCGGGGAGCAATCACAACAACATCCAACAACATCCCAGCTGTTTTGCGGAGCAATCAGAAAGGCTGCGCTCAAAATATGATCGCAACTCTGGCGTTACCAGTGCCCCAACCCGAAGTATAAGCAGCCCTGGCTTGCACGAGAAGGGTGGGCTGCCCAACAAACAAATCAGCAGGTGAGTATAAGTGAGTGTATGCTGGCTTCAGAGCCTGCACTTCACACTGTCCACGCGCTGCTTGCACAAAGATCTTGAACGATTCTACGCTGTTTTTGTCGAAGTTCTCCTTGGAATGCTGCTGCTTGGCTAAGAGCTGCGATCGCGGCGAGCAGTTGTTAAGAACTGAAACGTGCGCCTGCGGGGTGAGGTCTGATGCATCCTCCCCCACCTGGCCAGGCATGAGCCAGGCATGAGAACCCAACACACCCCAACACCGGCCCCACCTATCTTCCCCGAAGGCTCGAAGTCCTCTCCGAGCTCCGAGGCCGCGGCAGAGGACGCCCCGGAGCTGTCACATGCGACGCCCTCCTCCATGAGCACGGCCTCCATTCCAGGAATTCCGGGGAGCAATCAGTACAGTGTACGACATACCAATATCCTGTAAGTACACGGCATCTGAAGTGATGGCATGGCGCTGGTAGCTCTTCACACCGTCGCAAAGCAAGCTACAGCCTGCCTTGACGAAACGGGTGGGCTGCCCCGGACGAGCGCAAAGTGTGCTGTCTGAACTGCGCACCTGCGACGCCAAACCCGGTGGATCCTCCACAGCCTGGCCAGGGAACGTGAGTGCTCACACCTGCACTAAGACTCGGGCTGCAGCTGAGCATGCCTCCGAGTTGTCAGACACCAGGTCCTCCTCCATGAACCTCGCGACCTCCCAGGTTTTCCAGGGAGCAATCACAACAAAGCTATCATAGCTGCGCCCTCAACATGCGAAGCCATGGAATGCCGTTCGCAACTCTGGCGGTAGCCCTTGTTGCAACCCATGGTACGGCGCAGCACGCCAAGCCAGCAGGCTGCCCAATAGATGAAGCAGCAAGTGACTGGTTACTGGCTTCAGATTTGTACCCTCGACTCTCGACGCTGCGCAAAGACCCTGCACGCTCCCAAGCTCGCTCTGATGCCCTCTTGGTTACAATCTACCAGGTACAACCATTGGGACCATGCGAGAGATTTGTCAGCAATTGTGTGACGGCAACATGTGCTATGCTATGTCTGAAGCACGTGCCTGCGCAGCCAGACCTGGTGGATCCTCGACCACCTGGCCGGGAAACATGAGAACACCCGCACCTTCCCCAAGACTCCAAGTCATTCCAAGTCCTGGCTGGGGCCGCAGCTGAAGATGCCCCGGAGTTGGCGGACGCCATGCCCTCCTCCATGAACCGCACGGCCTACAAGCTATGTTCATACTTTTCCCCAGGATCTCCTGAAACAGAGAGGCTACTTAGGCCTCCGAAGCTTCTTGCAAACAATCCACGCAAGGCGCCGCGTCTTCTAGAGGCATCAGTTTGAAGCTTTGAGAAAAGTACGGCAGGGGCCACAGAGCCAAGGAATCGGAGGGCCACTGAAACTGGGCGAGTTCAGACACACACACACACACACACACACACACACAATTCCGGCGCTGTTGCTGCTGTTGCAGCTGCGTGCTGTCTGAACTGCGCACCTGCGACGCCAAACCCGGTGGATCCTCCACAGCCTGGCCAGGGAACGTGAGTGCTCACACCTGCACTAAGACTCGGGCTGCAGCTGAGCATGCCTCCGAGTTGTCAGACACCAGGTCCTCCTCCATGAACCTCGCGACCTCCCAGGTTTTCCAGGGAGCAATCACAACAAAGCTATCATAGCTGCGCCCTCAACATGCGAAGCCATGGAATGCCGTTCGCAACTCTGGCGGTAGCCCTTGTTGCAACCCATGGTACGGCGCAGCACGCCAAGCCAGCAGGCTGCCCAATAGATGAAGCAGCAAGTGACTGGTTACTGGCTTCAGATTTGTACCCTCGACTCTCGACGCTGCGCAAAGACCCTGCACGCTCCCAAGCTCGCTCTGATGCCCTCTTGGTTACAATCTACCAGGTACAACCATTGGGACCATGCGAGAGATTTGTCAGCAATTGTGTGACGGCAACATGTGCTATGCTATGTCTGAAGCACGTGCCTGCGCAGCCAGACCTGGTGGATCCTCGACCACCTGGCCGGGAAACATGAGAACACCCGCACCTTCCCCAAGACTCCAAGTCATTCCAAGTCCTGGCTGGGGCCGCAGCTGAAGATGCCCCGGAGTTGGCGGACGCCATGCCCTCCTCCATGAACCGCACGGCCTACAAGCTATGTTCATACTTTTCCCCAGGATCTCCTGAAACAGAGAGGCTACTTAGGCCTCCGAAGCTTCTTGCAAACAATCCACGCAAGGCGCCGCGTCTTCTAGAGGCATCAGTTTGAAGCTTTGAGAAAAGTACGGCAGGGGCCACAGAGCCAAGGAATCGGAGGGCCACTGAAACTGGGCGAGTTCAGACACACACACACACACACACACACACACACACAATTCCGGCGCTGTTGCTGCTGTTGCAGCTGCGTGCTGTCTGAACTGCGCACCTGCGACGCCAAACCCGGTGGATCCTCCACAGCCTGGCCAGGGAACGTGAGTGCTCACACCTGCACTAAGACTCGGGCTGCAGCTGAGCATGCCTCCGAGTTGTCAGACACCAGGTCCTCCTCCATGAACCTCGCGACCTCCCAGGTTTTCCAGGGAGCAATCACAACAAAGCTATCATAGCTGCGCCCTCAACATGCGAAGCCATGGAATGCCGTTCGCAACTCTGGCGGTAGCCCTTGTTGCAACCCATGGTACGGCGCAGCACGCCAAGCCAGCAGGCTGCCCAATAGATGAAGCAGCAAGTGACTGGTTACTGGCTTCAGATTTGTACCCTCGACTCTCGACGCTGCGCAAAGACCCTGCACGCTCCCAAGCTCGCTCTGATGCCCTCTTGGTTACAATCTACCAGGTACAACCATTGGGACCATGCGAGAGATTTGTCAGCAATTGTGTGACGGCAACATGTGCTATGCTATGTCTGAAGCACGTGCCTGCGCAGCCAGACCTGGTGGATCCTCGACCACCTGGCCGGGAAACATGAGAACACCCGCACCTTCCCCAAGACTCCAAGTCATTCCAAGTCCTGGCTGGGGCCGCAGCTGAAGATGCCCCGGAGTTGGCGGACGCCATGCCCTCCTCCATGAACCGCACGGCCTACAAGCTATGTTCATACTTTTCCCCAGGATCTCCTGAAACAGAGAGGCTACTTAGGCCTCCGAAGCTTCTTGCAAACAATTCACGCAAGGCGCCGCGTCTTCTAGAGGCATCAGTTTGAAGCTTTGAGAAAAGTACGGCAGGGGCCACAGAGCCAAGGAATCGGAGGGCCACTGAAACTGGGCGAGTTCAGACACACACACACACACACACACACACACAATTCCGGCGCTGTTGCTGCTGTTGCAGCTGCGTGCTGTCTGAACTGCGCACCTGCGACGCCAAACCCGGTGGATCCTCCACAGCCTGGCCAGGGAACGTGAGTGCTCACACCTGCACTAAGACTCGGGCTGCAGCTGAGCATGCCTCCGAGTTGTCAGACACCAGGTCCTCCTCCATGAACCTCGCGACCTCCCAGGTTTTCCAGGGAGCAATCACAACAAAGCTATCATAGCTGCGCCCTCAACATGCGAAGCCATGGAATGCCGTTCGCAACTCTGGCGGTAGCCCTTGTTGCAACCCATGGTACGGCGCAGCACGCCAAGCCAGCAGGCTGCCCAATAGATGAAGCAGCAAGTGACTGGTTACTGGCTTCAGATTTGTACCCTCGACTCTCGACGCTGCGCAAAGACCCTGCACGCTCCCAAGCTCGCTCTGATGCCCTCTTGGTTACAATCTACCAGGTACAACCATTGGGACCATGCGAGAGATTTGTCAGCAATTGTGTGACGGCAACATGTGCTATGCTATGTCTGAAGCACGTGCCTGCGCAGCCAGACCTGGTGGATCCTCGACCACCTGGCCGGGAAACATGAGAACACCCGCACCTTCCCCAAGACTCCAAGTCATTCCAAGTCCTGGCTGGGGCCGCAGCTGAAGATGCCCCGGAGTTGGGGAACGAGACCAATCGCGCGGCCTTCAAGGAATTCCATGAACCAAACAACATCCCAATTCCGACGTTACCTCCTGTCCCAGCCCATGGACATAGACTTGTTCATGTCAGGTGAGTGCGTCGAGTCACAGAAGCACCTCACACGATCTTGTACACCTCTGATTCAGTTAGTTGGCCTGCGACAACGCTAAGGCGGCATGGCTTCCATTGATGGAGGCGCGCTGCGCCGGAAGCACAAAGGCAACCGCGTTGTCTGTCGTTGCGGCCATTTCCGAGCCAGCAAGCACCCCATAGCGCAATCTCAGGTAAACAAACCCTCTCCATGACAGGTCCCACCATGTCTCACCCAATTGCGTCAAGCTTGATGTCCTCCAATACGAAAGTCGGCTCCAGTTGAAGCTTTATCAAAGTATGGCAGAGACCGAGAGACCCTGAGCCCCTGCCTGCAAGTGCAGAGGCCCACAATATTTCCAGACCCGAAACTGATAAAGCCAAGGAATCGAGGCGCCACCCGGACTGGACGAGTTCAGTTCTACAGAATTCCGAGACTGGTGCAAACATGCGCCTGCACCGCCAGACCGGGTGGATCCTCCGCCTTGCGAGGGAAACGTGCCAATATGTGACAATTTTGCACTTGCCGCAAGGACTCGACGTCCTCTCTGGGGCCGCAGCTGAGGAAGTCCCAGAGTTGTGGTGCACGGCGGCCTCCAACCGGAGAACAAGACAATCCAACCTGCAGCTGCGCCCCAACACCTGAACTCATAGCATAGCGCTGGCAACTCTGCATCCCCCCCAACCCAAGGTACAGCAGCCCGCCAATCAGCAGTTTTGTGCAGCGAGTCACGCAAACATTGCAAACACCTCAAACATCCTCAAACGGCCTTTTTCCCCGCTGGCTTCATTTCGTTGACTTGCCAGAAAATCTGGAGTGAAGCGTCCAACGCCCCAAGAAAACTGATGCTTCTTCCAGAACCTCTTGCAAAGACAAACTACCAAAGCCTTCGAAGCCATGTGAGCCACATACGGCACCACGTCTGTTGCAAAGGCGCGACGCGCCGGCACTAGGGGGCTTTGTCTGGGTCGCGGCAGTTTCCCAACCAGTAAGCACCTGTGGAACAATCTCATGTAAACAGCCCGTCTCCACAGGTCCCACCCAACTGAGTCAAGTTTCCTGTCCTTGACCACGAAAGTCGGCTTGAGATGAAGCTCTGGCAAGACTATGGCCGAGAAAAGCCCAGAAACTGTAGGGCCACGCAAACTGGACGAGTGCGACTGCAAGATTCGCCTCGGCCTTGGCCGAAAGGCGTCCAGAGGGTATCAAGGGTACCCCGGCAGCCCCCCCCCCCCCCCTCCCGTTTTCGTTCATTTCGGCGCGTAGTGCATGGAGACCCCTGGAGGCGTTTCCACAGGGGATGCAGGTCATTTTCGGGTGTGGGGTTGTTTTTGGTTGGTTTTGGCCCCTGAAGCTCCCACGGAGCACTGCTGGAGCCGCCTGGAAAGGCCTGGGCATGCAATGGTGTTCGATGGTGTTCGTATCTCCGCAACTCCCTTGTCCCTTGTCCCAACCCAGGGCACAGCAGGCACAGCAGTACAACCTCGGCAGCAAGGATATCTTTTGAAAAGAAAGATTGCTTAGGCTTAGGCCTCCGACAGTATGCGATTACCGCATGGTCTGTTGTTGTGGCGGGTTCCCGGGCCGTAGAACAATCTCAAGTCTATGAGTTCTTGCTGTACCCACGAAACATGTCTTCTGTACTCCACTACGAGTTCTTGCTCAACTTGAAGCTCTGGGAAAAGATGGCAGGGACTCTGGAAACACCCTGCAACATCCCAGACTTAGCTCCCGAGAACGCCTACAGCCTGTAGCAAGACAACGGGGGTGCTAGCAGGACTGGACGAGTTCAGTGACATGCTGTACTTTTCTGCAAGATGTGCTACATCTACCACGTGCGCCTGCGACACGAAACCAGGTGGATCTTCGGCCACCTGAAAAGTGAAAAGAAAACGTGAGAATATTGCACACTTTCCCGAAGACTCACAGTACTTTCTGGGGCCACGGCTGTGCGTGTGTCCGAGTTGTGGGAGACTAATCCCTCCTCCATGAGGTCCATAGCCTCCAAGGTATTCTGGGGGAGCAAACCAACATCAATTTCACATGGCTGCGCCCAACATCTGAAGTCATGAGCGCTCGTAACTCTGCACCCCTTCTATCAAAGAAAAGTGCAGCAACCCTGGCTTGCACAGAACGGGCGGGCTGCCCCACACAACGAGTTAGCAAGTGAGTGCATGCTGACTTTCACACCCAGCCGTACCCACAACGCTGCCCTGGGCACCTATCCCACTCACAACTTCTAGACCCCACATCGCCAGAGTCACAGTCAACCAGGCAAACGCTTGTTGTCCCTGGCCAAGGAGTTGCTTCAGTACCTCCTTGCACTGGTCAAGATGCGTGCCAGAGCAGCTGCATCTCTCTGGACAAGCAACGTTTGCAACCAGAAGTGCTGCTTGGGGATGACGGGAGAGGGTGAGGCGCTTGTTCCGCAAGCCTCGAAGCTGTTCGACATGCGCATCTCCACCTCATCCTGGAACCCGGCATGCTGCAGAAATCTTGACCTCAACAATTACCGGTAGATATCAGAGATGCTGCGTCCTGGTCTCTTCTCCTGGTCTTGAAGGACCACACCTTTGCAAACCGCGGCGCTCGTCATTGGCACAATACCCAAAGCGAATTGGTGCGCGACGTCGCCTTGAAAGCCACGAAGCAGAAGGCTGCCAGCACCAACAGCGCCAGCCACGCCTCAGCCTGCCACACGTCTGAGAAAGTCTGGGCGGCTGCCAGGCGACTGCTTGTTGGACTGAGGCTGCTGCCGAATGCGAGGGCAGGGGCATGACTGCAGGCTGCGGCTGCCTGTGCTGCAGGCCGGCGCGGTAGCCCGCGCGGTAACCCTGACATCGCAAGTCATGATATGTCTATATGTGACGCCTTTTACACAGCGACTTTGAGGCTGCCTCCTGCAGCAGCTTCCACTGAGTCACGCGGAGGGCACCATTGGGCCTTCAAAGAACCGCTGCACCGATGGATTTCTTGCTGAACCTCGCTCTGAAGGCCCGGACAGATCGACCTCGCCCGGGAAAGCTGGCATGATCTGGCATGTGTCTACACTTTGAGAATTGCGGCTGCGGACTGTGATCAAGCTGTCAAGAGGGCCACCTCAAGGCAAGCAATGCAGTTAACAACTCCAAGTCAGCTCAGGTGAATCATGGTCAAAACTTCTAGGACTACTAGCCGGCTTAGGATTCTGGGTTTGGCTCGGGACTTGGATGCGTGGATATGAGGGCTTGCGGTACCTTGTCAACTACTGTTTTAGGTCTCAGGGTCTGAAGCTTTGCATTCTATGGACTTGCTCTACTTGAGAACGTCGATGGGAAGGCACCAGGGCCATGCTTTCAACAAGAGCTTGAGTTCGGTAGGCCGTCGACTTTTTTCTTGGGGGCCAAGTGAACCCTAAAAGGGTCATAGGGTCCAGGGTCCATTTACCCCTCAAGGAACTATCCCAATTCTAGGGCCCATGTAGTCCCCAAGGTCCAACACCCTCCGTGCGAGTGTCTGCCTACATGGCTCCCATGGCACCATTTTGTCAGAGCGACAACGCCTACGGGCGAATTTTTTGGAGATCGCGGTGGCGAGATCTCGGAGCAAGCGCTCTCGGATCTCAGGCTCCAGCTCCGCAAGGTAAGCCTTCCGCCAAGGCAAGGTCGTTTGGACTCTTTGCTACTTTTTGCCAATCAACCAAAAACAAGCAGAAGGCTTGTTGGGAGCCTGCACCAGACCGGTACGATTCTCTTCGGAAGCCGAGAGCTCGTCTGATGAGCCTAGGCCTACTAAGCGGCTTCCACTCTTGGACAAGAAAGACAGCTTCGACAGCTTCGAGGCTTGCAAGAACTTGGATTTCAAACTTCCTGTGGGTCTCTTGCCGTCGAGGATCTCCTGGGCCTTCAACATCTCGTGCATGCTCACGCTGGGGTCGATCGACCTCCGATGTCGCCATAAACTCGCTGCCATCCAGATTGGAATGCCGACAGGATAGACCACTGTCATGATGCCAGCATAGATCATGAATCTATTATGGACCTCTGCATTGCAGTCGATGGCAAGATCTGCTTGCAGGAATCTCCCCACACGTTCGTCATCCAGACTGAACGACTGACACTTAAACGTATCAAAGATAGTGCTTGACACAGACGGGAGAACCAAGTATGCCACCATCAAAGCCGCGCCAATGAAATTCGACTGAATTTCATCCCTTTGGCGCTTCTCCGCGTTTAAAGACCAAACTCGGAAGTAGCAAACGACTGCAAGGACAAGCCATATGCTGATTGGAAGCAAAGTCGTCACCACAAGGCGATCATAGAACGTGTTGGGGTAAATGCAATCGTGCTCAAGGCCTCCAGGAATTGCAACAGTGTCGCCGGCCAATCTATGAATCTAAACACCACCGGAATCGTGTTCATCACTTGCAGGAGCGAAACTGCGATTTTGAGCTTGGTGTTCACCTCCTTGAGCTTGGCATGTCCGTTTCTTGTGCTGCTCCTGAGGACGCCTTTAATCTTCTTGCGCAGGAAGACCCAAGCCAACAAAAACAGAAAAAGCAAAGCGATCAGCCACTGCTGTGGTCCCCAGAACGCCCCGCCGGAGGAACAGGGCAAGCATCTTTTTGTGTAGGAGTCGTAGTAATGTTCCTCCCAACAAACTGCGCAAAGAGGCCCCATGTGGCCTTCGTCACAGCTTTGGTCTCCGTATGCGTGCCACCCAAGCAAGCGTCCACCTGGCAAGGACGGATCTCCTCAACAAACCGCCCGGCGCGCCAAAAGCCTCTGGACAGGTTCAGGTTCCCGAGCTCAGAGCCACCTTTGCAAATCAGACCCTCGGGGCACAACTTGCATTCGGAGCTGTTCCCTGCGTAGTACAGTTCCTTGCAACTGGACGTGGTGGCAGGGTCCAGTCGTTCGCTGTGCTCTGGGCAGTGGGTGCACTCTGCTGCACAGAAGGGGCAACTGACTTCACTGAAGTTCTTGTAGAAGTTGGCTTCACAGTTTTGAGCAGCTGGCACAGGGTACTCAAAAGGGGCCTGCGCAAATTCGGGCGGAAAGAGCACCGCCAGATCACCAGTCGATGCCACGGTTGCCGCAGGGGGGGCCATCCCTTTCATCTGCCCTAATGGGCTGAAAGCGGCCGGCCCGGCGAACGTGTTTCCGAAGACATCGCCGGACAACATCAGGTTGCGCACCGCCGTGTACACGTCCGGATCAGCCGCAGAATGGAGGAGATTCACGGGATCTCTAACTTCACGAAACTGAAAGACGCCCTGGACAGCTTGGAGAAATGCTGACAATCCAATCTCAAGGTCATAATCGACGGAGCTAAAAGCCGACTGCGCCCTCCACTCTGAGCCGTTGAGGCCGATCACCCCGTCTCGAGAAGAGTTTGTAATCCGCGGAAAAGCCATAACTTGTGCACCTGTAAGGAAGTGCGTGCAGTTCTTTCCCAAGCCCCAGCACTCAACACCATTCCGTACCCAGGGGAGGTTCACAGCGAAGATGCCGGAGGGAACATGAAGCTCACGATGCTTTTCAAGGCTTTCAACAAACACGCCGAAGTCTTGTCCTCCGAGGGATGTGAACACAACGTCTACTTCCATGGCCACGAGGCGCTCGACTGCATTCTCTATGTCTGAGACGGCTGTATCGCTCAGAACCCCTTCATGCAAGCTGATGGTGATTCCATTGTCCTCCAAGTGTTGCTGTGCTCCCAATCGAACTCCTTCGAAGAACTTGTTGCCGCAGCAAGAGTAAAGAATGGCGGCAGTTTTTTTCGCAGCCCTCCCCATTTTCAAGGCGAATTGCTGGGCGGCCAATTTTGCATAGTCCCAGGAGTCGAGGTGAGAACTGAAAGCCCAGGGCAGGGGCCCACCAGAAGCCCTCGACAACTGGCTCCAGGGCCCTCGTGGGCTCACCCAAATCCGTTCCGTTGCGTTGGCGAGCTTGGCTTGTTCGACGAGCAGCTCGTCATTGCAGCCGTTGCCCATACCCGCGATGTAAGACCATTCGGGAAAGTGCTGTTGACCCAAGGCTTGTCCGTGGCTCCAGTCTTCAAACGTTAGCCTCGTGTAGTTTAAGCGGTAGTAATACTTCGGGTAGGGCCTTGACTGAGCAATCTCTAAGCCGGCCGAGTGAACCATAAGGCCTTTGCCACCATTTAGGCTGTTGATGGCATCTAGGTAAGGCTGAAAGGACCTCCCGTCACAATCGCTCTCGCGACTAGTGGAATCACTTTGACTTCCACTGGTGCCTCTGTCCCGGTACTCAAACACACTTCCAAGATGCAAGTAGCACGGTTCCGTCGCATTCCACGTGCACGGGGCCTGAGCACTAGCGATGGCAAAGATGCTGAACATCAGCCATGTCAACAGCATGGAAGGCACAGCTTCTTTTTTGTCACGGGACCTTACCCGTTGACATCATGCCTGAGCCAAGACCATTGTTGCGTCACGGCTGAGGTGCTGGTCCAAATACGAACGAACACCACGAACGCACGAACAAGATCAAGAGTTTCCTGCTCCGTGAAGGCCAGGGTGCGGTTTTTGCTCGGGCCTTAAACCCGAGATTTCGCCAGCTTTGCTGGCAGTCCAAGAGCAGGCTGGCCGAGGCCGTGCCGAAAGCTTTGGGCAACAAAATTTGACGACAAGCTCTTATTTGGTAGCTATATTTTCCTACGGTGCACTCATGCTACGAGCATGCGTATAGCGTATGGTATCTCATCTTCTTTTATTGCTAGCTGTTTTTAAAACAAATTCCTACTGCTACTCTGGGCCTCCCGATTGGAGAGAATGCGAATCTCACAGCTCGAGCTTCTTCAGCTGCGCTTCCAAGTCCTCCCAAAAGAGCTACGAGTTAATTAGTAAGTATGTTAACCCTCAAGTATCAGAAACCCTCGTCCTGTTGTTCGGCCTTCAACTTCTTTGCGTCGGCAAAGTTCTCTGCCTGCGCGGCGCTGGCTTTGTGCGTGAGGGTCCGGCAAAGAGACCAGCTCACCACTTTGATCTCGATCATTCGCTGGTCAGGCTACTGCAGAAAGCACAAGCAGGCCCGCAACAAGCTGAGCTGTGATCCAAGAACCTTTTGCACTACGCCTCTTCACGCAGCTCTGCGATTCTAACTAAGGTAATGAGAACATTCCGGTGCAATGAATGAGAACATTCCGGCATAGTGCCCCGATTTTGAGCTCAGGAGGTGGAGACGTAGGGCGTGTCCATCCTTGGAGTGAAGGCAAGTCTCTGTTCAGAAGATGGCACCGTGCGCTACTTTCGCAGGCCTGGCTGTCCAGGGATCTGTCAGGGGCTCCAGCAAAACCTCCGGCGTGGGCCAGTCTACCTGCAGTTCTGCAGAGGAGCAAGGGCAAGTGCATGGAAAGTAGCTTGACATAGCTTGACGCCTTGATGTCCTGCCCGAGAGGATCCTTCAGCGAGTGCCTGCGATAATGGACGCTGCATGTAACGCAGATTTCAGGACCCAAAATATGTTTCAACGTCTTGCCTCACAACATAGCTTGCGATCTTTGTCTCTGGTTGTGTCCACGGTGCAACCTTCACAGCTGAGCTCCTCGCACGTGAATAAGTCTATCCTCTGGAGTGTACTGGAATGCAAGCGGGACCAAGCGGTTTAGTTTGCAGCTCCTCAGAAACGATGCCACAGGATGTGACTGCACCTGGCCCAGGGCACACGGCATCGAATCAAAAGAGGACAGCCGAAAGAGTGGCGGGTGGAAAGATTCTGTGCGCCAGCACTCGGCCGGCGCCTACAAGTTTCAAGCGTGCTACGCAGATTACGCAGTGATCCCTCCTTGACGTGTGTCCGTCTGTTGTCTCTCCGTTCTCGGGCCCTGCATCCTTTCCTCAATTGGGGGAGGTATCCGAAGATGACTTCCACAACCGCTGTGCTCAAAAACGCGTCCAGGGCTGGCCGTGTGGGTCGGACGTTTGGCAGGTGGCTCAGCTTGAGATGTCGCAGGTGGTCCTGGCCGGAGACAAAATACGCAGGCTCCGGTGTATTTCAGCTGCTGGCAGCCTGCCAGAATGTACTGCTTGGCGATCTGCATCTGCAGCGGCTGCGTGCCGCTTCTCCGAAGCACCTTCAAACTGGCACAGCCTGCTCCTGAATGACAGCATGAACACCAGCCCGGATGATGCTGACGGTGATGACAATGAGGACGAGGGTTTCTGAATTCAGTGATGATGATGACGATGCCGGTGATGATCACAGGGACAGGAAGGGCGACGATGAGGACGACGACAAGGGGCGGTGGCTGACCGTCCAACAAGGAAAACAGGAAATCCAGCCCCTGGAGTTATCATTTTCCTGTTGCATGGTTCCGGCCCTTCCGCCCAAAGAGCAATAAGAAAATCAGGCCAAGGTTCGATACGAAATCCAGGGCAGGAGTCACTACTGACCCGGAGCTTCCTATCCAAAGCTGTGACTACTGTAGTAGTAGATGTAGTAGTAGTAGTAGTAGTAGTAGTAGTGGTGGTGGTAGTAGTATTAGTATTAGTCGTCGTACCGGAAGTGGTAGTGGTAGTGGTGGCAGCAGCAGCAGCAGCAGCAGCAGCAGGAGTAGTAGTAGCAGTCGTCGTCGTGGTAGCGGTAGGGGTAGCAGTAGCGGGAGCGGCAGTGACAGTGGTGGTTCGTGAAAGTAATTAGCACCATGCAGTAGTAGTAGTGTCGTCGCTGTCGTAGTGGCAGCAGCATTTGATGTAGTGTAGTAATTAGTCGTCGTAGTAGAAATACCAATAGCAGTACTCGTGTAGTAGTCGTCGTAGCCGATTTAGCAGTAGAATCGGCAGGATGGTTGGAGGCACGCCTCGGATGCGAAATTCGCCATCAGATGGTCGCCCTTCGTTGTGATCACACCGACAAGCCTGACGACAGCGCTGGGAATATCCTACGATCCGCGTCGCGCGCACCGACCGGTGTAATAATGTGTACATGTATATGCATCGATGCGCCAGCACGTACTTGTGCATACTTGGGCTCACGGACTCAGAATCATGGTACACTCGACACACTACATTTTTGTCTGTGTACACATATAAAAGTGTATATGTATCTCTATGTATATATATATATATGTATATATATATATATATATATATACACACATAAGTAAAGCCTAGATACAAGTATACATGTAAATAGAAATATACATACATAAATGTATATATGCATTGTAACGTTTGTTACAATACGTACATATATATGTAGACGAGGATGGACAACAGGTTCGCTTGGAACAGCGCCCCTGAATCCATGGGGCCCCGGCTTGGCGAGGACTTGTGGTGGCACCTGGCCCTTGAGCCCCACCGCCAGCAAAATGGCATAGGCCGCCTACATGGGCTCTGATTTTGATGAGGCTTGCTGCTGCTCATGGCATGCCGTCAAGACACACATTCGCCGGTTTGAGTCTTTGCCCAAGTAGCTCCGGATTGCTCTAGATATGGAAGAACCTGAAATGGCCATGGAAGAAATACCTCTCTGTGGCGACCAATCTGAGGTGCGTACTTCCAGCATGCATGAATTGCACAAATCATCTTGTCCAAGAGAACGAGCTCGAGCGCCCACCAATCCTATTGCCTGATTGGGGTGTCATGGAACGTTATAGTTATAGCTATATTTAAACCCCGGCATCAGAAGCAGGAACCAGAAATCCTGCCAATAATGCAATATTCGGTTCTTGATCATCGTGCCTCCAAGAGTTCACACTGGGCCTCTTTGCTAGAGCCCGCAGAGCGAAGTGCTTGTCCCAGTGTTGCGATGGTGGACGCCTCGGGTTTTGCAGTCTCCCCCACGACAAACGCAGCAAGGCGCCGTGCACGATTCGAGGCGTTGCTCAAAAGCGGCAGCACCGCGCTCGCCGCGCTTGGGCCAGCAGTCGTGAGCCCGTAAGCAGCGGCTCTCGCAGTGGATTCGTCTGCAGTCAGAGCCCTAGCGAGCAGCTGCCGGGCACCCACCCGGCCAAGGCGATAAGCCGCCGCCACCTTCTCCGCCTCACCGTAGTCTCCACAGAGGATCTCAGCATCTTTTGCCCGCTCGGAGAGCAGGGAGATCCCGCCGTGCCGTTCTGTTTGGATTCCGCAGTACCACGCGCGTAGGTCCTCAAGGATCGCCTCCAGCTGCAAGGGCGCTGGCGGAGGGCTCGGGGGGACTCCCAAAGGGCTTTGGAGGACCGCCTGGGTCGAGGCCGGGCACGGCTCAGTGGTCCTGCACAGAAGGACAAGTGGAGAACAACTCGACTCAACATCCGGCTCGTTGTGGCTACCCCTATCGATGCAATGTGTGACGCCTATAACAAAGCCATACGGCCAAGCTAAGTGGGTCCTCAGGAACTGGAACTTAACCAAAAAGCGCTCGGGTGCTGCGCTTCCCTTGCGAGAACTGGCTCTGTGGAAGAGGTCGTAATGCATCAAGACACAGGTGCCCGCGGAAACGGTAAGTTCCAGCTCCTGTACCAGGTTTGCATCCTGCCTCAAGTAGTTCGCCTTTGCTTCGAGGAGGCAGCGGGCTTGCGATGAGGGGCTCCCCGGAAGAAACATGCTCTGAACACCAGAGTCAGGCAGCAGAATGTCTTCTCCACACTCGGCGTGCTCCGTGTTCTTGGTCCAGTATTGGGACCCAGCCATGATACAGGTCGGTCCCATGGCAATGACAGTATCCTGCGGGTAGTAGAGCATCATCAGCCAACGCGGCCGATGTTTCCGGACTTTACGGAAGCCCCAGTAGGAGTCCTTGTGCCACATTTGGTTGTTCTCGGAGCTCACGTGGAGGTGCCTATGCCCATGTAGCATGTATCCGTCGCCCAAGATGCTAGTCAATGCTTGGCGGACATGCGGCACTTCCAGCACTTGATGGAGCTCCGGGATGGCCCGAAGGACACCCTCAGGACGCCGACACATGAAACTCTTCTCAAACTCCTGCAGCCGAACCTAATGATATCCGCACAAGAAACCCTAACAGACCACGAAAAGGAGTCTGAATTATGCCTTTGCCTGGAATATCCGGAGTGTTTGCCGTGACCTCTCCGACTGCTAGCCGGCCCTTAACCGCGAGGTTTTCGTTCGGTGAACAACCCGAGGAGAGGAGCAGTAGTGCATTCAGTCGGGTGGCATCTGAGAGCTTCCAGGTCTCCTCAGGGCCCTTCGCGTTGATGGCCCAAGCTTTCGAGTAGATCTGGGAATGTAGCTGTGGACTGCCGGCTGGTGGAAGAACCAAGAACCCTTGGCGAATGAATTGTTCCAAATTTGGGTCGAGGGCCTGGGGAACTGGAGGAACTGGAAGGCCAGGAGATGCGGTGCCTGACCAGGGCGAGCGGACGCGAGCGGTCTCGCTTCGCTACTCCTATGTCAACAGCTCTCGGGTGCCTGAAGCCATGGATGTGTACAAAGTCGGCTGTGGCAGCATCCAAAACACAAAAACTTGTTCAAACGCCCTTGTCGGGGAAGCTCCTGTTCCCGAACTGCAGAGTGCAGAGGACAGGACCCCAAATGCCTCTGTCTCCAAAGCCAAATGGCTGCAAGCGCGCCGGGCGGCGTCGCTCCCTACTAGTTCCTGAACCAGCTCTGCAGTCTGTGGCAGCTCAGCTTGCTTTTCGTTCGGCTGCCCGAAGAATCGATGAAGCACAGATCCCGGCTAAGCATGGTGGATTCTATCCGAGATATGTCGTGCTCAGCTCGTCATCTTGTGAGTCTACCATGCCCAGTGCAAACGGGTCCAGTCAGTGCCACTTCTGCGAGCACTGAAGGCCCTGGACAAGCAACTCTATTGACCAGGCAATCATTATCGGAGATCAGAGCCATAGTTCTGGCCACGTTTTGGCCAAAGCATAACTCTGCAGGCGGAGTCCTGCTCAATCACGGATCTCGGAGTCTTCGGCGCGCGAAGCATTGCAAAGCACCCCCCCCCGTCCTAAATCTTCCCGTAGCCTTTGGCACCCTTGCCAGGCATTCCTTTTGGCCCGGGACCTGGTGGCATTCCTTTGCCTTCCAAGCATTCCGTGTCTTTGCAGCGCTGTTGCAATGCTCGGCAGCGGAGCCTGGCATGGGGCCCTTGCCAGGCATTCCCTTCGGGCCGCCGGGGCCGCCGCCCGGGCCTTAGATGCGAGGAGCCAGGCTTCGACGTTTCCTCTACTTGGCTGTGGGCCCTGCCGAAAGGCATCTGCCTGAGGGAGACAGAGCAAGACACGGCGAGCCACTGCTTCCGGAAGGGTCAAGTTTCAGGACCAGGCCCAGGTGGCATAGAACCCTTCTGCCATTGAACCTGCTTTTCGGATGTCAGGACAACTTCTCGCAGTCGATCGCAGACAGACGCCTGCGTTTGCATGACCTGCTGCCCAGACATTCCCATCCTTCGGGTTCGCGAAAGGCTGAGATGACAGCTGTGGTAACTGAACCTTGGCTCCCGACCCCATGGGCGCCCCTCCCATGCCGGGAGGGCCCATTCCCGGTGGGCCCATTCCTGGCGGGCCCATTCCCGGTGGGCCCATGCCTGCGCCTGGGCCCATTCCCGGTGGGCCCATGCCCATCGGAGGTGGACCTCCTCCCGGAGGGCCCATGGGACCAGGACCACCGACGGTTCCCGGTGGTGGCCCAGTCCTGGAAAACTGAGGCTGTTCTCGGGGGCGGGGGCGGTCTGCTTCCACCATCCGCGAATGTCGCAACAAAAGACAAGCCGAACCGTAACCACTGAGGCTTGCTCCAACCTGCGGATGCCTCAACATGCATGAGAAAAATCGCTGCAAAAGATGCGACTCAGTTCAAGAGGCCACGTGCCTGGCCGGGCGGCCTGGGACGGTGGAACTCTGGCATCGTATTCGTTACGCAAGATGATTGTAAGTATGACCACGCCGCAGGGGCTAACCAACGTTTCCGGATTTTAGCATTACGGGTCGTAATGTGGCAGTCCGTTTGCTTCTCTTTTCATTGTCACTACTGTTGAATTCTTTAGATGATGTCTATGTACCTATGAGATAATATTATGTAGTAAGGCAATATCTAATATGTCATATCGGATATCTGAATTTTGTAAAAATCCAATGTACAGTATTACGTATCAAAGTGTATATATATATATGTCACACAAACACACACACACACACACACACTTAGACATCCATCGCGCAGCCACTAATCAATCTGGTTATCAAGCACAGCTTGATGTATCTCGAAAGCATGAAGCTTCCAGGGGGTCCGGTACCTATCTGGCCTCAAGGCTCATCTTCACTTGATCTCTGACTTTTCCACTGTACAAGGCAAAATCTCCCAGACATGCACATGAAACTGCACTGCACTCCTACTCGCAATCAACAGTTGTGTGGTCACAAGCTGCACGAAAGTGCCCATGCCGACCACTGCAGGTACGTTTACCTGTCTCAATATCACGGAGCTTCGTTGGCAGAGGCCGTGAAATGAGACCCTCTGCCCCCTGCAATTTTCTGTAATTCAGCACAACTGTCCAACGTGTTTCAAAAACGGTTCCTCTTGGTAACAGAGGTCCACACACACAGTAAGCCACTAAGGCGAAACGACCTAGGGTCTGGACTCCAAACGAGGACGGTTTTCGTCCGAATATGGCTCAGCCCAGTGAAAGGTCAATGGTACTGTGTTGTTGACAGTACTGAGTTTGACGTAGTATGGTAAATGAGTCCCGCTTTGCGTGAGTTTAAACGCACGCTTGGGGATGCGACTCCACTCCAAACTGATAGCCTCTTTAAGGTCGTCGATAATGCCTTCGGCCGGAATGTCGAAACATGCAACGGCGGCACCATGGTGGCGGCCGTCAGAAGGCAAATTTTCAATCCAAAATCCTCGGGTCATCCGCAGCGGAGGCAGATGTTTCGGTGTCCGAGGGAGAATAAGTGGATCATCATCTTTACCGCCATCGGGTGGAAGCGACGCTTGTGCTGCATCTCGTTTCATGGCGGATAAAGCTACACATACACTGGGTCGCTGATGAGTGGGAGCAGGAAAACTGTACAGGCAAATGCTCTCACTGTATGCAGGACAGAAAAAATGTAAGTCAGGTCACAAGGTCATGCCAAGAATCACTGGTAGTTTTTCCCAGCAAGTGACATGTAATCCTGTACACGTCCGGTGTCCAAATCAAAATAAGAATCAAACGTTTCGGTTGGGACACTGTGCAACATACCAAAAATGGCAAGCACAACGGAGGTTGGCTCTGACCAGCATTTTTGCACAAGCCTTCGACCGTGCTGCAGGATTTCGGTGAAACTGCATCGGATCCCCAAGTGTGATATCACTCGCTTCAGAGGGAACGGGCGAACGCTCAGGTTTGTCCTTCTTGGACTTCATGGACTTCTGAGACTTGTTTGGTGACCGGTCCTTTTTCAGCCTTTTGGACTTCTTGGACTTCTTGGTCTTCTTGCACTTGCTGGAGGCCTTCTTAACCCAAGACGCCACCTCTGTGGGTGCCGAGTCTTTGGGAGGATCAAAAGCCGAAGACCAGGAGCTAGCATCATCAGGAAGTTCATCATATGGTACCCCGTGGTCTTGACGGGAAGCCATGCCGGTGGGTCAAGTAATCAAGACGGAAACGGCTGGCGGCACCACATGAGTAAAAAAGGAAAACACGCCTTCGGCTCAACGAGAGACAGAGATAAGGGGAGAGAGAAAAGGCGAAAAAGACATAAAACTGAGCGTCACGCTCATACGCGTTGTTTTGCAATGCGCAAAGACGGTTCCACTTTAGTGGTGCAGGCGCTCTAATCCGGTAATGATGAAAGTCCCAAAAATGTCAATTGGGAAAACGAATTAAGCAGACGAGTCGTCTGCTGTTCCAGCATGACAAAAGCTCTCACGGTGATGCATCTCGCTTGCGTTTTCGGGGTGACAAAGAATTGGCGCTCTCAGTAGGGAGGTTCAAGTCCACCGAAGAAGTGGTCTGAGAAGCTTGGTGCCACTGATTGTCAGCAGCCAAACGGTCCGAAATCCAGCGAGAAGTGGCGGGAAACCAAGATTTCCACCACGTTTCATTGCCACTGGGTCCTTGAATTTTGACCCAATAAAATCGCCACGAAACAGTCGGAGAACGCGATCGGGATCGATCCGACATGGCGTGTACCGCTGAAAGCCGAACGCTGGAACTGAACAGAGCGATTTTAAAAAACCTAAGCGAACACATTGCATGCAAGACTCTTCTGCATATACATTCTGTATTGCAACAGTCTTTTTTTTCATGCATGACAGACTCCATGAATCTTAAGCCTCTCTCTGTACATCGGATACCGGTAAAGCTTCGGTGCTTCGTACAGAGTACTCCAAGCCCGGCCAGCTGACTCCCCAATCCTGTCCTTCCCCCGTTTCAAAAGTAATCGGCCGGGAATTGTTGGGGGTGGACATCGGCAACGTAATGGAGTGGGTGCTTGACAAAATCCAAATTTTGTCGATGCGCCCTGCGGCTTCACGTACCGCCCAGCGCTTATCTCCTGAAGGGGAGTGTACAAGCGGGTGGAACTTGCACAAGTGTCCTTCATGTACAGTACTGGAGGATTTGGATTTGTGATGCGCAGATCCAAGATATCCTCCAACGACCACTCCTGCGGAATTCTTCGTGGAGTGGTGCAGTTTTGACACGAAGTCTAACTTGCTCTCTTCATAGTACACGTTTTGTGTGGCTTTGCCATAAAAGGAGCACACATGATCGTGCGGCGCCACATGTACAGCTTCGGCGCTAGAGCGAATGACCCTGCCCAACGTGAGGATGCCGACCAGGCCTTCGGCCGTGGTCCCGTGTCCCCAAAGATAATAGCAGTTGGTCTGCTCTTCAGGTCCTGGCATATGTGCCACTGGAAACTCCCAAACATGCAATGCTTCTTGGGGCATGGCATACGCCTTGGCATCATGCTGAAAATTGCCTTATATGGTATCTTGCTGGCCAAAATGGACCGGGCAAGAGTGACAATCTCCCGTTGGCCAATAGGAATCACAGGCAGAAAAGGTCGGTCTGCCTGGCCAAATCGGGTCAACAAAAATTTCAGCACATCCTCAACATCCTCTTTGAGGATTTTGGAAACTGGCAATGAACGTTGCCGAGTAAAAGTGATGCGATCAGTGAATCTTCGCATATGAGAATGTGGGATAATAGGCCACGTATGCAAGCCTTCAGTTGTGAGAAAATTCTCATGATAATGCAAAACAAAGAACATATACGCCAAGAGAGAACTCATTCCCTCCTCATAGAAATCGACAGCATTGCGGCCTTTGGCTCGAGCTGTGATTTGCTCTCGCAGTTGTTCATAGCTGCTGCGATGAGCAGCATGAAATAGCTGTTCCTCATCAACAGAAATCAAACCGGATTGAGCAGGAGGAACTGGGCTCTTTGGAGCCGGATTCTTGGGAGGTGTCTTGGGCGACGTGTTCTTGTGAAACTCCGGTGAGACAGCTGCC